TCATGTCTTTTCTCTTGGACGATATTACCAATTATTGAATAGGGCAGATTCCAACACGAGTTTTCGTCTGGTTATTTGTTCTATCGGAGGCCAAATCAACTCATTAGTCCCATATGTGCGTTTCCTACACAGTCGTGCATCAGTTGTGTGTACTCATCGAGTTGGGTATTAGATTAGTCAGTTTGGTTGTTATTTAGGGGGAATTAAGTGTTGGAAACAAAGGGTTTTTTTGAATTAGGTAAATGGTCAGTTGACTAAATAAGTGTTTTAGACTGGTTAGTATCTTCGTTGTTAAGGATCCTTGATATTTCTTGATGACAGTTGAGGGCGAATGCTTGGTAGCAGTATATATCTAATGACAGAGGTCGACAAATGGTGGCTTGAGAGAGAGCCTTAAGAAGAGATTCACTTAGAATTGCATGGGAAATTTGATTGCATGGGAAATTTGATTTTTTTAATCCTAAGGTGCCTTCTTGCGTGCTAAATGAAAACTATTTCCTCTGCGATAGCTTTTTTACAGTTCAAATACTGCCATAGTACTATTAAATCATACTACCATTATTTGTCACATCTTGGCCTGTGGCGATAGAGCATCAACAGGAAGTGAATAACACCATTACAGCACCATCACACTTAGAAGAACTAAATAATTAAATGAAGACTGGGAAGTGCTCATGGTAAGGCTCACAGAAGAAATGTCCTTGGGGATCATGTTGGCTTCTAAACGAGGGGGCAATGATGTCAATCCATAGATCCAATTTACAATAGGGAGATCCTTTATGTGAAGATCCCTACCTTTTCGTATGTCGTAGGTCCTATACAAGACCTATACTGATCGGTACTAACCTATATGGTCCAGTATCGGTGCTTGGTCAGACCGGTATATACACATATGGGTCATTACATGCCCTCCAACTGGTATTTGAAATCCTGGATGTCAGTAAGTTTCTGTTCAACTTTCAATGGGTCTTTTAACATGGCAGGTCCACCGGGTTCTGGAAAGGGTACTCAGTCTCCTATTATAAAGGATGAATATTGCTTGTGTCATTTAGCCACTGGTGACATGTTGAGAGCTGCTGTGGCTGCTAAGACCCCACTGGGAATTAAAGCTAAAGAAGCTATGGATAAGGTATTCTTCTTTTAATGAATAAAAGTGAGATTAGAAAAGAATCAGTGATTTTAGTACTGATTGATTATTTTGACTCTTGGTCCAGGGAGAACTTGTTTCTGATGACTTGGTTGTTGGGATTATCGATGAAGCTATGAAAAAACCATCATGCCAGAAGGGTTTCATTCTAGATGGATTTCCGAGGACAGTTGTTCAAGCAGAAAAGGTAAATATTCTTTATTCTTTTACCATCCAATGCCAGATTGAGATTATTTTCTGTTTATTTAGTATTTTCCCTCTCAATTTTCCGAATTTGAGTTCAGCTTGACGAGATGCTGGCAAAGCAAGGTACCAAGATTGACAAGGTGCTAAATTTTGCAATTGATGATGCCATACTGGAGGAAAGAATTACTGGCCGTTGGATTCATCCATCTAGTGGTAGGACTTACCACACCAAATTTGCTCCTCCAAAGGTTCCCGGTATTGATGATGTAAGCAGATGGAATAAGTTTTAGCGTTTTCTTAGAGCATCTGTTTTTATTCTGAATATATTTTGTCAGAACTCCATGTATTTTGTGTTTTACTTCTTTCTTTTTTTTTTCCTAATCGCAAAACATTAGATGTGCCTGAGGGTTGGTTGGGTTAGTGAATGTCACAGGGGAACTTTCTTGCTCAACATATAAATAAGATATTGGATTAATGTAAAATGGGAGTAGGTAAATAGCTCATTTGTAAATTTTTTGATTTTTTTGAATTGCATGGAGCTTGAACTTACATATGCATGTGCTGCTGATTGTCACATAGTTGATGGAATGTCATTATGATTTGACTTGAAATATGCATCTTGAGGTAAACATAATTCATAATCGTAGACTCTAGTGTAGTAAATAGATCTTGATTCACTTCATTGACGATTCCCTATTCCATCTTGCTGATTGGGATCTGTCAATTCTTAGCTCGAGTCACAAAGAGAGGAGGAAGATTATTGCTGCTTCTTCCCTCTGGCCTCCACTACTGTCTCTGCAGAAGAGACTTCTGTGACTTTGGGTGATTACGGCTGTAGGACTCTCATGACACCTTTATTTAAGGATTTTTTTTTACACTTTAGAAATATATTCTTTTTCAGTTAAATATTTTATAGAACATATACGTGTTAAAAAAATAAATATGTAATGTTCTTATTTTTACTGAAAATTATTTATATGTTTTTGCATGTAAAATTATATAAAGATTTATTTTCGTTATTTATCTAATCTGGCTAACATAGTCTGCCTGTCTATCTGGCTGATCCTGCCAACCTTGTCCCAAAGCTTGGGCTGATTCCATTTTTTTGTGAACCTTGTACCAACCCGCTGCAAATTAATGAGTTTTTTCTGTCCTTGTAAATGCATTTCTCAGCTCTTAAATGATGTTTACTAGATATATTATCTTGTAGTCTTGATGAGATCTTCGAAAACAGTTATGTAATGATATACTCTTAGTTTGGTTGGTCTTACGAAATTAATGCTCATATTCTTTCTTTTTGCTCTGAAGGTGTCGGGAGAACCCTTGATTCAGAGGAAAGATGATACAGCTGAAGTCCTCAAGTCAAGGCTGGAAGCTTTCCACAGACAGACCGAACCTGTAAGTTGTTTTTTCCTTCTTACCATTAAGTTTATTGAGATCATCATCTTCATTCTTTTGCTGATAACTGTTTTATTTGTTGCATAATTGATAATATTTTTAAGCATAATATAAGTTTTTACACAACTTTGAGGTCATTAGGTGCATCTATTTTTATTGTCTGATGTCTGGCTATTGCATGTGCATGTACTTTTCTGCGAATGTAGGCATCAAAGTACCATAATGAGGTTGTTCTATTCTTATTTTTTGTTTGGTGTGTACCATGATATATTGTTTTCTTATCTATTGAAAACTGGTTTAATATTTGCTATGATTCAGGTGGCAGTCCTGTTAAGAGGAGTTAGCCATCTTAGATCAACTGTTGAGAAAATTGTTAAAACTTTTAGGCAAGGTTTGCAATTTTGAATAATACCGTCTGGTACGAACAGTACGTACCGATCTGTCAGCTGATTGGTACACGGACCTCTCGTTACCGGACGGAACGATATATATATATATATATATATATATATATATATATATATATATATATATATATATATATATATATATACACCGAGCAGTATACCGCTCGGTATACAGTATCGTACCGTACCGAGCTAACGTCGAAACTTCGGTATGGTACAAAATTGCGAACCTTGCTTTTAGGATCTCATTAACCTATCGGCTAGCAATCCATCCTGTTATAATTAGCAATCTTAGATCAACTGTGAAAATTCTTAAGTTTTAAATATCTCATTAAATTACTAGCTATGAATCCTAGGCTGCTTTTCTTCAAGTGTCTTTCCATGTCTGCTATATTAGGTTTTAAAGAGATTAAGGCAGTTGACAATCTGTTATTGGGAACCATCTATTTCCTGTTGGCATGCTATCCACTTAAACATGAACAACAATATTGATTTTTATTTACACAACATATGATTCCATTGATTCTTCGTCTGTTCTGAACAACAATTTTATTTTTCCTTAGTTGTTTTGTTATTATAGGCATATATTGTAGAATGATCATGGTCTTGTCTTGTGTGGCAGGTGATTAATTACTACAACAAAAAGGATGTCGTGGCTCAGCTTCATGCTGAGAAGTCCCCCAAAGATGTTACTGCTGAGGTTCTGAAGTCTCTTTCATGAGTGGAACCCTCCCTTTGCTTGACAAAAGTTTGATGTCACCAATAATTATCCAGTGTCTTTCCTCTCAGAGTTTCGAACTTCCGCTGATTCACGCACAATGATGAGTCCAAAATAATCAATGAAACAAGAAATTTTGTTGTACTATTTTTTGGAGAAGAGGAGCTGTAACATTAACCTCGTTTTTTTGGGGGAGAAAGCTTCTAGATTCTGAAATTTGTTGCCTGTGTTTGTCTCGTAAAGATATATCTCCCTCTCCAACTCTGATCTGTGATCCGAGTGATAGGTATGAACTTTGTTTGCGCTTTACATGCTGAGGTTTTGAAGGAGCAAATGGGCTCGGTTGTCATCCCTTCTTAATCCAAATCAAACCCCACACCTGCTGTGTTCATATTTGGTATCTATCTTCTTGTTCGATAGTACTGCAGATTTATATATCAGAATTTGTGTGGATGTTCCAATTGTTTAAATTTCACTAAAATACATATCAACCGGATCGGGTATGGGATAATGAATTGTGATTTTTTTGACATCCGTAATTATTCTGTTGGTTTTATTGTGAGTGAATATGGAAATGATCATACTAATATAATTAAATTGGATTAAAATTGAGTTCGGGTATTTAATTAATTAGTCAGTTTTGGGAAAACATTAGGATTAAAATTCCATTCACGTATGTCGGAGGTAAATGGAGGCACTCTGTGTGCTCGATGTGACACGTGTGATGAGGCGACTTACAACAGGCATCCAAAATATAAACTGAAAATAATAGTTAATATTATTATTTATTGTCGCAACTAAAATTCTATTTATTTTCTATTTTCTTGTATTTTTCACTTCTTCTAAACATAGAACAGCCTTTGATCCCTGTTTTAAAATGTCTCTTCTCAAGAAAACTTACCGTTACGACCATACAATTACGAAACGGGCACAACATTTTTTGTATTATTACCTTTTTTCCATTTCAGCTTAAATAATAATGCTTTCTGCCTCGTTATTGTCGTCGTAACTCAAATCGCCCAAAGCTCGGAAACCATCGATGCCAGTCCACGACTCGGCTTACGAAACCCCAGCCGAGAGGCGCGGGGCACTGTTGTAGTTAAATGTGCCGGGCTCTGTGTCTTCCTGTCTATTCCAAATCCCCTTTGTTATTTCTCTACGGCTTCCTTCGAAAGCTTTGCGGTTTCCCACCGAGTCTTCCAGCTTGAGCGCCTCCCTCCAAGGAATCGAGAAAGTGACGAAGCGGCACCGGTCGTGGGAAGCGAGGATGTTCTATTCGCACTCTCTCCTCTCGAGAAATGGTCCCCTGGGCACCATATGGGTCGCTGCCCAGTGCTTCAAGAAACTCAAGAGGGAGCAGATTGCCCACGCCGACATCTCCTCTTCAGTGGGTATTGACCGTCTCTGTTTAACCCCCCTCTTCGGTTCTTTTGTATGGCCTCAAAAAGATGTCCTTTCTTTCTTTTGTAGTTAGATTGGTTGCCATGTGTTAGCATTCATAGTGTCGTGGACGGAGGCGGTTCGATTCTTTTCACATGCTTGCGTCTTTTTTCTCCTTGTCTTCTGGTGTTGTCTCGAGGCAATGGCTTTAGAAAAGCCCTCTTTTGATATCTGGTTTTGGATAAGGGTTTTCATTTGGTCATCCTAAGTGTGTCGATCTTTATAGTTCGATGATATCAAACGAACTTGTTTAAGCAGTTGAACGAAGGTAGATACGCGAGAGAGGAAAACTTGAGGGGTTAATGCTGTTTTCTTTGACGTTGTGAAAACCTAGATGACGTTTGTAGATAAAAAGGTTTTGCATCAGCGGCAGAAAGTTAGGTTTGTTAATTCACCATTCCGTTACCCAATCTTTTTGGTTGATCACGTTTCCTAGGTTGACATCGCGCATCTGGTCTATTATGATGTGCCATTTGGCAGTTCTATGGCAGGATTGTATCCGTTTCCACCTGCTACTATTCCTTGCTATGAAATATCTTATGTTGAAGTTGTAATTCTTTGGCTAATCCTATCACCGCAGATGGGTTTTTTTTTTTGCTTTTTATCACACATAAGACAGGTGAAAACACAGATTGGAATTTGAAGTCATTGGAGTTCCTACTAGTATAATTTCCCTCCCTGTCTCTGTTATTGGAGTGCTGCGAATGTGGCAGACAGTTGAAGCAGCGTGAACCAGGAGTCCCTTGCTATGTATAGCAACGTGCATATGAATTGTTGGTCATGTTTCTTAGGTTGGCAACCGATGTATATAACATTTTGTTGTCGGTATTGTCAAACCCCTGGTTTATTTTGGTGTGTCATTTGGCAGTTGTATGACAGGTTTGTGTCTGTTTCCACCTGCTACCATTCCTTGCTCTGGTAGTCAGATAATCAGCAATGGACATACTCGTTGTTCTGTACCACATAATATATGTCGAGGCACATTAAATTTAGTTTGTAGGATTGAAATTTGAATTCACTGGAGTTTAGAACAGTTTCCTCGCGAACTCTGTTACTGAAGTGTTGAGAATACGGTAGACAGATTAAGCAGCATGAACCAGGATTGCCTTGGTATAATATGGCAATCGGTATGCATCAACTTGGATTCCCTGGGGCCTTTCTAAGGGTCTTTCTGTTGTTAGAATCCTCGGCCTTGGGCATATTGATCTTTGGTATCTTTCTGTTGTCAGAGTCCTTGGCCTTGTATCTGGGACCAATTTGTCACATTGAAACGAGATATTGTCATATCGCTTGATACATAAGTTATCTAAGTACAGATTCTAAAATAATTTGCCTTGTAAATGCATATTTGACTTAATTGTTTATGCTAATTTGTCACTAAGCTCGGTAGAACTTCTGGTATAGTAACTTGAACATATTACGTGACTCCAGATGCTTAAGCTCCAGATCCAAGTAGTTGGTCCATCAAACCTTACATGTTTATAAACCCCATATCCCCATTCGAAGTGGGATGAATTGGGCTTCTCAAGACTAATACAAGACTTGTGCATATCTGTGCTCTCAGAGTCCTCCATCCAAATTAACTAGGACTTGTTACAAAATAAATCTGCTGTGAATATCAAATCTCCTCCAAACAACAGATGTAAATAATGCTAGAGAAATTATGACATTTATTCAGTAGTATTATGTAACCATCAGAACTTCGTGGCTGATTTTCTTCCAATTCAAATTTTGAAATAACTAGGTTAATGCACAATTACTATGACGGATGGTTGAAAGCCATATGCAAAGCTTCGCAACTTAGATGGCAGATGCTGATGTTGTCAACTGATTAATTAATGCCACTGACAAGGAAGGCTATGATTGAGGTTGAGGTTGGGAAATTGATGCCACCAACAGAAGTAGGGGGTCTGATTGGGATAGATGAAACCTAAACATTTGGACAATTTGGTTCAGAAATGTTTATATTAGTTATAGTAACATGGTTCAGATATGTGCACTGGAGATGAAAATAAAAAAAAAAAAAAAACTTGGTTCAGATTTGGATTCTATTTTTATGGTTTCTTATCCCATTCCTGAGATATGTTGTGTATGACTAGTTGCTAGTTTAAACATTGTGGTCATTGCATGTAAAACACACCTTTAGTTATTCGATGGTAGCGATAAGGTTGGCAACCCAATAGAAGGGCCCACAATTTTAATCTTTAATTGGTTTGTTTCAGTTGATTTAATTATGCTTTTCATTTAGCCCTTCTTATCATCTTCTGCAGATAAAATTGTGCCTGAAATCCAGATATCATACAGAGTCTTAGCCCAACTTCTGCTGGGTATCGTGAGGATATTCTCAAAGAAAGTTGACTATCTCTACCATGATTGCAACGTGGCTTTGATTTGCATAAGAAAATCATTGGCTCCTGTCAAACTCACTGAAACAAAGAGAGCAAATACCAGAACACGACACCACTTGATAGAAGCGGGACACAAACCAGACCATGATATAAGTTCATCAAAAGAACCAATCTTTGCAGAACCAGTGGAAACCATGCGTGCTCCATACCATCATATTACTATCAGTGTACCTGAAAGACTGGCACTTGATTCTTTTGATCTGGATGTTCCAGATGACAAGTAAGAACTTCAATAACTCAGACTTCAGTACAACTTTGCTTACACATCTTTTACCCTCTAGTAAAACAAATATGAATTTCCATCCAGTGACACAGCCAATACCAGTCCTCATGAACAGTTTACACTTCAAGGTATTACTTCTGCACTTGCTTTTATTTGTTTTTTACATTAAATTTTTTTGTTAGAAACTTAAATTGTCTGTCTATTGGAGATTAAAATGTAATTGCTTCCCGTTGTCTGATTTCATTGTAGACAATAACTTCACTGTTGTTTCAAATACCTGCCTTCTAACAGGTCAATGCCTGGATGATAACAATGACCTTTCTTGTCTGAATGAGGTATTTCTGTACAAATTTTCTAATTAAATCTTTGAATTTTGGCCTTTTTTTACTTCTTGATATCAGCACTACTTTTGTGATAGATGGAGCCTTTCTATTCCTGTCTTTTAATTCTAAATACCAGCAAGAGTTGCAGTGTACATGGAGTTTTCTGTTTTCATGTTGCTTGTAATCTTGAATTATGTATTTTCTGCAGTGCAATCACAGGGAATCAGTCATGTGCGATGAAATTAATTCTTCATGCTTTACACCCGTTAATGAGTATGTATAGTTAGTGATCAAAGTCATCTTGTCAAGTACAATTTGCTTACATTATAATGCCAAATAATTTTTTCTAACAGTGTTCTTCCATCCCATATGATGGACATTAACCTTGAGTTCGATGAAGAGTGCAACTTTAGCTGTGGAAACGCAGAAAAGGAGAATCTTCAAGGAGATGTCAGATTTCATGGATGGCTAGAGGAGAAAAAATCATTGGATCCCATCATGCCTGATGGAGAATCAGAAGATCGGCTTCATCCTGTAAAAACGATGAAGACTACAGATTCTGATATTGCTGATGCTGTTAGGAATCTACCGAATCCAGCAGATCCTTTGGTGTCACAGGAGGCATTTTCATCAAATTATAAAAATTTGTCAGCCTATACAAATAAAAGTGCAATGGTTACACATCCCACTAAAACCCATAATGAAGATCTGTCCCCATGTGATCTAGGTTGGTGCTTTTAGACAGAGGCATTTATCTAAGTTGCATTTGCAGAATGATTATGATGAACCTATTTTACTCGTTGTGTCAAACCATGTTATTGCTTAATTTTGATCGCCTGTTGTCTTTCTGTTCAGGTGTTCCTTCTCCTAAATTTACTGTCCGGACTCCAGCTAAAAGAGAACATCATCGTATACTGAAGAAGAGAAAGAATTTCTTTGATGAAACAATAGTGCTATCCAATGAGTATGTACTGTCATAATCTATAGATATGTTTGTAATATTGGAATTATTAAAGTAAAATTCTTGCTAGAAGTTTTTTCCTTTTTCCTTATTTATGATGATATCTTTAAACCTAAATCTGCTAACAGGAATGTAGACCATTAATAGCTGTGAAGTCTAAATTGCAAACAGTATTCTTATCTTCAAAAAGGTTATATAGATTTTAAAGTGTAGCTACTAGATTTCATTATGGTATTTTCTAATGACATATTTCTCGCTCGCATAGCACGTCTCAGCTAACTTCAACTCCCTCTATCCAGATTTGATTTTATCGGTTGAGATGTGGAAGAATAATGAAGTGTTTGTTAAAACTAGAACTGCCACAAACAAGTCAGTTGTAGTTGTTAGTCAGTTTTTGAGACTTTACAAGGAGCCTCCTTAGCTTATCCAATTGTGGTTGAAGTCCTCCACTGGAGCATTCAAGTTATAAGAAAAATAGCTTCATGGGAAAGTGGTTGAAAGGGAATACAGAAGTCCATACGTCAAGTTCAAACATTCCTGGTAACTGATAAGGAGGATAGTGAGTCAAGTAATTGAGAGTGGTTGTGAGACTGAATGCAATGGTTGACAAACAGTGTCACGTAAGAATATAGTTGTTGATAGTTCTATCTACAGATAAATTAATGGTCATTTCATCATGCAATAAATGGCTTCATAACCAACCTTGTCTTATGATTGAAATGAGTGTCCTTCAACCAAATTTTAATGATGCAATATCACATTTACTTTGAATTGTGATTCCTCCAAGTTCTAATCAACCTTGATTACATCATGCAATTATAATGTGAGGTTGTTTTGGCTTTTGGTATTCGGTGCTCCTAACCTCTACTTATCTTCCCTAGCATTGTTGTTCATGATCTCCTCATCCTTAAATATATTGGATCGTTGCAACATGAGATATGTATCTTGTACATCATAATATTAGGAAGAGGTGAATTGCGTGGCCATGCCTACGGTGCTGGATAGAGCAGATAGTGGCATGGTATTAGATAATGACACATGGAGCGATGCTGGTCCACTGTGGTATGTCTGTTACCTGAGGAAATGATTTGGGCTGGCACATGCAGGTTCTTGCTGACATGCGTCAGGATGAGACTGATAGAGTTTAATCAATCACATTGTTGAATAGACATAATATTGCTAAGCAAATGGTAAGCTAAAGTCTGGTTTTACCTTGTTCATCATGTATATAATATATGGGGCCTGGAAAGAGGCTTAGTTTACTGAACTGATTATGTGGAAATTTGAACATGTATTGCTTTGTTTTCAGCTCATGTGCTTGGATCTTCAGGTATTTACTCATATTTGTTTTGATGGTTTTGTATTTATCATAAATACTCACAGGTCTCTAAGGAAGGGAATACATGATGCTAGTAGTTTAATTTTCAAAAGGAGAAAAGTACCTCACACGCTTCTGGATGCCTGGAAGTCTTACAGAATCCCTAATCTGCAGCAGAACATTTTGGAACCTGTGATTACTTGTGAGGCATCAAATATCTTTATGCAAGTTTTTCACTTGTGTGGACTAGGACAAATTGTAACTTTGCTGTGCATTATTGTTCCATGTCCTTGCAGGTATGGCCTCAGAGCTCAAGGCTCTCTTTCAAAGCAGTTCCTCTTTTTATTCACCAATACATAGGTCCGCAAATCACCACTTAGAATCACAGGATGTGGATCACCAAACATCCAGCAAATCCACTAAAGTTGAACATTCCTACAACAAACCTGATATTGAAGTTTCACCTCCTAAGAGTCATGCTGATGTGCCTAGAACTGATACACTTGGTGAAATGGAGGTAAATTTATCTCTGGGTTTATCAGGCACTGGGTTGGATCTTATGGGTCAGGTAACAGAGCTCTTTGGTCTTTCTTTAGGTTGAACCATAATCTGTTTCTTTTACAGAGTCAGTCATACTGCAGTTGTACAGAATATCTTGATATGTTCTCTTTTGCAGGATCTTGAGTCTCAGGAAAAGGGTACTATTGGCCAAGGTAGTGCCATTAGGACAGCAAAAGGAAGTTTACATTCAATCTTTTGTTTCCTATATACTGGTTTCCACTATTCTTATGTTGTAAGAGCAGTAGATTAAATTTGCATGGCATATTCTTATGAACCTACATTTATTGCAGATAATGGATGGTCACTAAGAAGCAGGTACATTATAGAGAGATTATTTGTCTTCACTTTTCACTTAGTTTTTCTTCTGAATTGACATTTCTTTGGACATCTTCCAATGAAGGGGTGTGGTGCAGTATCTTTCTAGCAAACTTTTGCATCCTAAAGGTGAACAACGAGAAGAGAGTCTGAGTTTACAGCAAATTTTACTATGGAGCAAAAGATCTGACTCTGCTAGATTTTTTTATGAAATTCTGGTAGGTTTCTCAAACGTCGTATTCACATTTTTTGGTTTGCAAAGTCATTTTGCATTTAACTTAATTTGGTCAAGAGTGATGACAATGAAAGTACTTCAAAGCTTTGAATTAGTTCTCATTGTTGTTTGGTACCTCTGTTGTTTTGTACTCGGTGAATTGCTGAATAGGAATATAGCAACTCACAATCATGATTTTAGATCACAATACGGATCATGTATTGCCATGATCTGGAACAGAAAAAGCATCTTGATCTGAGTTGCAGGTCTCAGATTGCAATTCCTAGGCTACGTATAATCTGGATTGCATATATAGAGTGATCAAGACACACATGTCCGTGGGCATGCATTAGCCATGATAGAAAAAATGACATCGATACAGAATGCTGCTTGAAAACATGGCTTTATCGTTCTGCAGATCTTGAAGGGATGTCAAAGCATAGATGTCAATCAGGACTCTCCATACAGTGATATAATTATATTCCCAACCCCAAAACTGGAAGCAGATCTTAGAAGCTGACAAGTTCAACTTAGTCGCAAAGCGAACTTATCAGAGGCGGATGGATGTTATGTTCCATTCCCATTTTTGTGCAACTTGCTAGCCCAGTGGTTTCTTGTAAATATCAGTGTAATCATACAAAATAACCTTTTCAACTTGCTAGCCCAGTGGGTTCTTGTAAATATCAGTGTAATCATACAATAAAACCTTAACACTGGTTTAATAGTTTCAGTTGTTGCATCACAAGTGTTACGCTCCCGATCTCGAGTTTGTTCATCATCGGAGTTCTGCTCCATTTCCATTTTATTGGTGATAGAATGCGAGTGTTTGTGGTTTATCTCCTAATGGCTCTTTTTGCTGTTCAAAAATGATATTTGATATTACCAGGCTGAAGTATGCAGCTACTAAGAGTTCGTGTTTGCTTTGTAAGTGCTATGTGGACTGAGAAAATTTATGTTTGAATAGTTTAAAGATCTATTTTTCCATCTCAAAAAATCATCACAAGAGTATCAAGCAAAAGGTCTACCTCATCAAGCAAAAGGTCTACCTCGTCAGCTTTACTAACGGAAGAGAACCTATGGATTCTTCAGCAAGAAGCCAAATGAATAGAACATGTCAAACAATATATTTTCCTGGCTAGAGCAGAAGCTAAAATTTATAGATGCAATAAGCCCTTAGCGAGGAAATTGTTGTTAAGATGGTTTCTATACATAAATAAGAATATAACATTTTTTGTTTTTGCTACAAACCCTAATGTGTTGATCCTCACAATAATATCATGCCACGACATAAGTTAGTTTAGAGTAAAATATAACCATGAAACCTACCATCATCCATTTCATTTGAAGGCAATTGATTAAAGGTCGACGACTAATTTCTTCTCAAGTTTCGTGAACTCGTTGAAATATGCCTTGAAATGCTCGTAAGAGTGTTTGGCATCGTCAACAGCACACATTTCTCTAATGCTATGCATCGACAACTGAGGCGCACCAACATCGACAGTCCGAATTCCGACACCGCTTGCGAGTATGGGACCAATGGTTGAACCACATGGCATGTCGTTCCGAACCACAAAATCCTGCAAATTGTCAAATAGTATTAGTACGAAGAAAATATAATGCATCAAATACATGTCGTGCTTGTGTTGGCACAGAACAATAATACTGGGTCAGTTAAGGAGGCAGCTCACCTGAAAGGGTAAGTTATGCATTTCTGCAATTTCTCGGAATATGAATGCAGTAACAGCATTGGTGGCATAACGCTGATTGGCATTGTGTTTAATAACAAGACCACCATGTAGTTTCGGTTGATGATTTTCCTCGTGCTTGTCCTGCAAGCATGCGAAAACAAGCCGATAGTGGTGCTTACATTAAATTGTTCCACTTAAAACTGCTGCCAATAACTTAACGACGGACCAAAACCGTGTTGAGACTAGTGGCAGAAGTATAAAGAAACCAATATCTTACACGTTTTTCCTGCCTGAAGGCTATTCAGGCTCTACAGCAGCAAAGATTGTTTAGGTAATTTAATTCATTTTCTCCACAAGACAGCCAGTAAAGCCAAAAGAAAGACCAGACATACCATAAAATTAGGATGTAAAGCATGTGCCATGTCTGCTGAAACAAGAAAACTCCTTTGGATTGCCTTCTCAAGAAACTGAAAGAAACATGGATAAATCAAAACAATTGTCCAGTTTAATCAATTTAAAGATGCCCAAAGTCTGAAGCCTTAACAATAATCAATTAGCACACTGTCCAAGGAAGACAAGTTTCTCATTTTTGGTAATGCTAAAATAAATAGAGCATATATAACCAAGATGCAGATAAGCCAAATCTGGAAAGCAAAGAAAAAGAAGCTTTATATAGAAAAACATAGTAAAATCAAAAGTAATAGTACCCTGGGATCTGAAGAATCAAAAGACTTTGTTATCCTTGACAGAGCATCCAACATGACGGGAGATCCAGCTCCCTGAGCTGAATTTGATCCAACCTCCTCATGATCAAATAATGCCACCATCCTGACACCAGATTCTTCATCAAGCAAACTTCCAACAGAGATGGAGTCTATTAATGCCTGAAATTGAACTTAGATATATAAGTTACACTGTAGCTAATCTGCTTGCTTTGCAAATATGAAACAAGAAGATAAACTCAGAATTTAAAATAATAATAATAATAATGTCAAATGCAATACCACTATTGACTTAAGCACTATATTCCTAGCTAGCTAATCAGTGGATTGACATATTATCCGATGAATATATGGTAACTCTCATTTGGAGATCATAAAGACGAAATATTCCTCAACAGCCACAAATGCTGTAATGTCCTTGCATAAGCACTTTTAACAGAATAAAATCATTACTCAAACTTTTTATAACATCAAATCCAATGTAAAAATGGATTTTAGGATAAATGTCTTCAGAATTATATAGTATTCTTGTGAAAGTATCAACAGCCCATAAAGGTAGCTGAATATCTGACTTCAAGGGTAATTAGCATGATACAAGGCCAAAGATATTTTTAAGACAGTAAAACTTAAAATTGTTAGTTAAAAGCAGAATGATTAAGTTATTACTTAAAATACAGTATGGGCCTTGACTACATGGTTTCTTACAGTTTTAGTATCAATCAGTTATGGACATACGAGGCATAATCAAGTTCTGTGATCCATCACAACTAAACCCTGAAATTGTTTAAAGAGTAAAAACTAATTTGACTTATCCAAACAGCTATCATGTTATACTTTGTAAGGTATGAAGCACCATGTAAACAAACAGATAAGAAAAGACAACTCACCTTTAGTGCACAAAATGACATGCAAAGGTTATCAACCCTTCCCGAGAAGATAAATTCCTTCATTGCACCACCTATGACACTTGGTTGAGTATCGCAGACTTGCAGCTCAAAGTCACAAATTTCATCTGGATGGCAATGAGCCTGGTCAGCAATAAGCTGTATAGAAACACCAACCAATGTGTCAACTCCCACCAAGCATTCAACTATTGCATGCATCAGTACTTTTCAGACAATCCAACATAGGTTATAAAAAGATATATTGTTAGAGAATTCTTTTACCTGCAGTAGCACTGGATGATGTATTTTGTTATCAACATTTGCTTGTGCATTTGACTTACAGGGACCATTTTGATCTACAAGCTTCTGAATCTCACCCTACACATATTTCATTTAAAAAGAAAAGAACTTGTCATGGAAGTCAAAGTAGTACAACATCTTGAATATTATTTCCACAATATTTAAAATCTTTAAAACATAGAAGCATAGTCGAAAAGACATTTGGATATGGCAGTTTAAATCTTGAAAATAAAATTGTAGTACATTTCCAATCATTCCTTGAACCAAAGAAAACAATTTAATCAATGGGAACTAAGGTTACCCTCAGGTTCACTTTTGTTTGGAAGATAACCAGAATTTTAGTCACTTTGAAATAGCCTCAGTAAGGGTGTGCACATTGACCCTCTATTGGTGGGAGCCTTGTCCACTGGATTCACCGCTTTGGTTTTGAGAGAGATGATATTCTTCGTAATCAATCAAGCAACGGGTATAAAATGAAACAAAACCAAGAGATAAAATGAAATAAAAGTTTTATAAGCATGCTAATCTTCTAGGTTAATGACAGATTAAAATGCTAAAGAATCTCACTGAGTATCTATAGAAAACAAAGGGTCAACCATAAAATTTTTTAAACCAAAAGTGCAAGCCATCTTGAAGCCAAAATTTCTTCAAGATTAATGTTGTGTCATGAATGTGCTCATTAGAAAAAGTTCGTTCTTTGTTATATTCATTTCACTGATTCTGTTACCAATTTATTTGAACCATTACTAAAAGTTGCATCTGTTCCACAACTTTAAAATTTAAAAACAATTCTATATGCTTTAATGGGGATTGATATCTTTAAACTACAAAAATGAATCAATTGGAGATATGTGTATTCTTTTATGCGTCTATGCACTTACTTTTTAACTGTTCGTAGAAAATGTTGTTGATATGCCTTCTCATGAATCATAAGTTGATCATATAAACAATTGTATATTTCATTGACTAACATGCATCAATTGACAAATTATTTACCTAACTGATGTTCAAATTGATAATGAGAATAATCATCTGGAGCTAAAGAAAAAAAATCTTGGAATCTTGCATATAAGCCCCTCGTTTCCAATTTCTGATAACTATGTGCATCAGGGATTGCTCATGGCAAGCATGAAGCAAGCACATATGGTAGGAGACCAGCACTCAAATGTGGACATGTGCTAGTCTCCATGCCCTTATGGATTTGTGAGCATGCGACAACATAGCTTGCGACAGGACATGATACTACTTAGGTACAGGAACCACAGTAACAGGTAAATTCAGTGTACACATGAAAGAGTTTAGGCATATCTCAAGTGATATTTACATTCAACATAACAGAAGATGTAGCTGATAGATATGGCTGAGAAGCTCAAAAGGCAAAAAAACTTGCTAATGCTACTGTTTATCTATAAAAGGGAAAATCAAAGAGGATATAAACATAGGACAGAAGCAAAATGAAAAAGATGAAGAAAACAGAGAAGACTGATAATATCAGAAAATATCAGAAAATTGGCAAACAATAGAAACTAAAAGGTTTGTCTCTTTTAGACATTAGAATGTTTTGAACGGTGTTACAAACTTACAATGACAGATCAAAAACAGATTACTGCACTAATGGTAAGTTGGAGTTTGAGTCAGCTGAGGATGAGATGTGAAAATTATGTTTGACAATTTGAACAAGACTGGAACAGATGATCAAATGGAATTGTAAGAATAGGTGAGAACAAAGGAGCTGAGCCTAGATTTGAACTTGTTTAATTTAAATATTATAGCAAATGGATAGGCACATGAAGAAAAACAAGTTCAAGGCTACAAAAAAGTTAATTTAATCAGGTTAAATCACCTTCACTGATGTTGCTAACACAGGTATGAGGTGACTATGTGTGTTGAACTTGAAGGCTTCTGTAACACTCCTGTTCACAAAGATATAACAAAAATGCAAGATATTAAATTATTAACTTCAACAAGGATAACATGACTGATATATTTCATTTCCTAAACAAGTCATATAACTTCTAATCTAACAACTAATGCTCGAAAAGGAACACAAGAAACCACTGTGTCATTAAATAGTTATCATACAAGTCTGAACTTGGAGGTACTCACACAAGGTGAAGGTTGTCAACTACTAGAAACCAATGTAAAACTTTAAATGATCATAATGTCCAATTCAACCCTATGATCATCAAAAGCCATTAAGAAAGACATAAATATAAAATTAACATCTAATGCTCCATATTACTTAACTACTGATACTAACCTATCTAGGTGAATAGCCAGGGTAGGAATTCGAAGGATGGGCTCCTCAATCCTGACAAGGCAGTGTGAGTAGGATACTGAATCATCCTTCACTTCTTTCTTTATCACTCTTCCAGCAAGGGTTAAGTCACGATCAAACCAGGTATGCCAAAGTCCTCCACCATATGTCTGGACACCAACTTCAAGATATCCTCCTTTTGTTACCTAAACAGGTATGGCAGACAAGGTTAACTACATTCAGGAACATCTAGTTCCCTCTCTCATTTTTCATTTTTATTATTATTTCTCATCACATTAGCAACTAATCATAATGTTCCATCATCTCTATAAGCATAAACACACTTGAATATAAAATGAATGTATGGATCCATTTTTTTAACTATAAATATCAACATTTTCTGGTATAATTAGCTAAATAGTTAAAAGCAATATATATGGATTCACAAAAAATTTTGAACAAATTATTTTCAGTCAAATTATAAAAAGTTAAAACATGCAAAACCCAATATATACCAGTAGCAGTATAAAATCTGATTGAAACAAAAGAAGAAAATTTTAACAATCAGATATAAACAATGAAATTGAGTTGAATGCGCTTACCTTGGAGACAGGCTTCACTTTGAGGCATGGGCTGTCAGTATGTGCTCCAATGATGTGAAATCCATTCCCGGCAACATATCTATTATTCGCAATGCAAATATACAACCAATAACATCTCGGAGCATCAAAAACATGAACACAAAAAAAATTTCAATTCTGCAAGTTAATTCTAGCAAGGAAGTCGAAAAGGAATGCATTAACCGAACCCTACTTCTTTCCGATGGCAAAGGTGACGACGGTGGAATGGTTCCTCGTGAAGAAATACTTCCCCCCCGGTTCCAACACCCAATCCTCTCTCTCCGACAGATGCACGAACCCAGCTTGCTTCAAACGCTTCTTCGCCTCATCTACAAAAAAAATCTTCCCCAATCAAAAAAGAACATGCATTCTGAAGAAACGATCGTGAGAGAGAGAGAGAAAGATTCGAGGGTACATGCCGGATGAAGAACCAAAGAGGTGAATCTTCGTTGATCAAAGCGAGAGTTGGGAGATAACGTTGGATTAATTACCGACGGCGTGGAAGTTGGTGGGCGAAGCGTTGAGGAAATCGACGAGATCGAGAGCGATCGGATCCACAGTCGCCATGACTTCTCCTTGAGATGATCTCGACCGATACTTGGGGGCCTTTATGGCACGAAAGTGTCGCCGTTACGATTTCGCCTGGAATCGTTTGGGCGGTATACCGGTATGTACTGTTATCACATCATCTCATAACGATACAACTGAATACAAATAATATATGTAATTGAGCTTTCAAATAATATATTTGGTATTATATATATACATATATATACACACACATATATATATATATATATATATATATGCAATGGAACCTCAAAATAAAAAATGCATCGACTAGGTGGCTCAACCATGTGGAGATGAGGTGTTGGGCACTTTGCCATTACACCATCCAATTAAGACAAACTTCAATCATCAACCAGGAAATTCTATATCTTGTTTTATCCCAGTTTAAGAGATTAGGAAGTCATCCGCTCGATAGTAAAATTAAAATCCATCACTATGCACCCCAAAGAACAAAGATTGCATATAACTTTGCTAACCGTTACAGCCACATGAACTCATCTCTTTTGATTGATTCAAAGCCATAAAGAAGCACAGTGAGGACAAAATTTACAAAAGAATATCGCATCATCCTGAAGGACACAGGAAAAGAGCAGCAGCATACAACCAGACTAGCAGGAGAAAGGTGGAAGCATGCCACGAACCTCTGATTCCTCTCCCATTGATGCCAAGGGCATTGTCTTTACAACATCGCATCGCATCGCATTCTCAAGAATAAATGAAGATTGGGAGCACATGTGCTGTCACTCCCAGTATATAAAAACCCCTCTGCTAGATAAAGAATATCAAGATCGTGCTTATGCTATAATACTTCAGGAAGAGAATCTAATGAGTAGACTACTGATCTAAGGCATTTGAAACTTCGGGGGCTTCGTGCCGTCAATCGTGAGTGGAACTTCAGTTTTGTGACATGCAAACTCTGAGTTCTTGACATTGATCCCGAGACCCACAGATGGCATCCTGCCAGCTATTTCCAGCTTCTTTAGTTTAACCTTTTGTGAAATCTGAATACATTTGTTGGACGTTTTTTGCAAATTCTTCTGATTGGAAACAGAACTTCCAAGATATATAACACTTCGATGAGAAGACTCATATGTAGCCAATTCCTTTTCCATCCCAATTGTTGCAGCCTTGTAGGCCATATCATGGGCAATATAACTGCAGAAGAGTATAGTATCTGTTGCTTCTTCCAGAGTAAAACTTCTTTGCATGTGTTTCCTTGGAGCTTCTATCATCATGATTGGTTCTTCTGTAAGAGTCAAGTGTCAGCAACACAAGACAAATGATGATCTTACACATTTATCTTGGATACTAGACTAAGCATACATAGCAAAGAACATTAAAGATAGCCAACCATCAAATGTAGATACATATCTCCTAGGTAAAGTCTCTAAATATTGGATGCTAAGTTTTTTATCATGCTAAAGTCGTAAATTGTTGGAAGAATGTTTAAGAACCTAATGAACCAATACATCCTATAATTTTCTAGATACATAGTAGCTACTAGTGCTTATTAGCAAGTGACAAGTAGCGCATCCAGCACTTAGATCTGCATCTTCCTCTCTCAACTTCCTGTTGAAATGAAACCAGATCTATGCAAATCTAGTATAATTCTACTTCATTTTAAGCCAAATCCAATTGGATCCAATGAAGATTCACATGGAATTGGCCAAGATCCACTCCAACCAGAGGCCTAGTAAATCCAAACTGATGAAGATTTATAAAGATCTAGGCCTCGAATCCCCACCAAAATATATGAGGATTCAGCCTCAATCCGCACAAGTGTAGATAAGATCTACTTGGTCCAAGTTACATTCACAGAGATTCAACCTATATTTTTGTAAATCTATCGATCTGACCTAGATCTGTGTATACATAGACTAGATCCATGAAATCTGGCCTAAATCTGCTTAGATCTTATGAAGATCTGTGTTGGATTCACAATGATTTGACCTAGACCTGCATAGGTCTAATCTAGATATTAATCGTATTTTCAAAATCAAGTATAAATTCTATGATCAGTTAGTAATTATTTATTGCAAAATGATACTGAAGTATCAGTCCAATATGGTAGTATGTTTGTCACTTGACCCACCACTTTCATTGGCAGTGCATCAATTATGACTATATTGGTTAATATGGAAGAATAACCAAACTAAAGCAGTGGATTTCCAACAGCTAAATTCATAAAGTTGCCCTAAGTCAGGTGAACTTTCAGGGTAGAATTGGTTGTCCAGAAAGCCATAGGACTGCAGCAGAAAGCCCAAGGGGAAGACCTCGAGAAACGAGCATCTGATTCGCCCATCAATGATGAGTATGAAGGTCAAGTGGATGATATTAATGAGGCTATTAAGGTTGCAGCTGGTATTTGTATCACTGGAGCACCAGTATATGCAAAAGGATGCCATGAGACAACTAAAATAGGTCAATTGTTCATCCCTATATAAGCATAACAACAGTGGTAGTAGCATTGGACCATCTCAGTCAGTCAGTCCGACCCTTTAAGGAGTAGCAGCGGTGCTTGGAATTTGGGTAGGAGAATTCTGGAATGAGACAGTCCAATGGCACTCATGAGCTAGGTAAAAGTGGCTATATGCAGCGGCTCCTGACATGGTCAATCTTGATCCCTCGGTAGTCTCCTCCTCAGTGTGTAAAACAAATAAGGATTAATGACACTTACACAAAAGTGAAGAAAAGAAACAATATCAAGGATGGACTTTGGCTCAAGGAAGGTGATGTGCTGGACAACCATAGCAGTATGTTTTCGAGAGCTACTTGCCCATCTTCTTTGGCTGCTGTGGAAATCCAGAAACGATGCCAAATTTAATGGTGGGAGACTGGACTTTTATGTGATTCTGTTGAAAGCTGTCAGTCTTGCATTAGACCATCAGGAACGTCCTGTATCTGAGGGACAACATGGGCAAAATTCCTTTTGTGCAATAGAGACAACTGGAGCTATTTTGGCACAAATTAAACACTGATGGGACAGGTAGTGTAGTATGCAGGTTGGGGGTTTAGGCAACATTTTGAAGAAATGATAATGTGGGTGTGGATTTTGCAGGTTGTAAACACACCATGGATAGATCCAGCATTTACAATGAATCTGTGGCAGTTCGGGAAGACCTTATCACAGCAAAGCAATGGGGGGAGGGGGGTATTTATGTGGAGATGGATGCGGATGCACTTCTGCACATTTTGAACTGCAATATTGAAGCTCCTTGACCAATTTCTATTGTAATTTCTGATATTTATGGCTTATTGGTGGCTTTTGCTGAGTGTATAGTGACTTGTATCTGTAAGGAGGGACTTGTTCTGTGCACTGGCTGGCAAATTTTGCAAGGGTTAGTCAGTGTGATGGTTTTGATCTGCTCTGATAGGAGAGAGGATGGTTGTATTCGGTTTAGCTAGTAATCTAGTTTTATTTGCTTTTGGAAATAAAAAAGAGATTGTGAAAATTCTAGGTCGGATCAAGTCATTTAAAGAAGCTGTTGGACCTATACATAGTGATCCTCATATGAATCAGGATGATCCTTGTGGTGATATTAATCCACTCATAAAGTATGTCACTCCACTTATAATCATATTTTTATAATCCCTGCATTATGTGTTCATTCACCGGTCTATTTTTTGTCATATATGCACCAAGTCGATGATAACATCATCTTTCATCTATTTTTGACTTCAAATTTTGTGATAATAAAGTTTTTATTGATAAAAATAAGTTTACTCCACCATGCTACCTCCTCACCAGATCAGTCTTATCAGATTATCCAGTCCAGGTGCCTTCACCTAAGTAGCTTTTTCCAAGACTCCAACTAGTCACATGCCTGATTCAGTACCATATATTTAAGATCTAACAAATGTCCAAGAGCCTAATACCTTGAATATGAATATAATGCCACTTACATTTGACCATAATCCTTCACCATCTCACCCATCAAATCATCAATTCATCATCTCAATCAAGTAGCACCAACTTACCATAAGTGCCTAATAACTCAACCAGGTGTTCTGACATCATAAAATTTAGGTGTTCAGAAAGAGAATCGGGCTTTTTATTTGACTTAGACTCTGTATGCTTCGATTGGTTTTCAATTTGGACAGACAATCCACAACTATATTTTGTATGTTGCAACTATAAACTGGCTTGCATGACTTACTACCACAGTGACCTTGTAATATTAAGTTACAGCTACATGAGAAATGAGCAAAGTATATAAACAATACAAGCAACACTTCTGCAAAGAGAATCAATTATCTAAGGTCAACAAATCCGAAGGAATTATCTAGAGAGAATATGGGGAAGCAAAAACATCGCTATCCACAATATATGCAATCTGACAGGAAAGCTCTTTAACAGGCGAATACAATAATTAATCATGGAGTAAACATCAGATAACAGTCAAATCAAGTTTGCAGCTTAGTGAAATTAAATATTATCCCATATTCCAGCATAAGATAGAAAAAATTTAACTTGTACAAAAAGCTGCATGCAACTTGACAAGAATAGTTAATCATAAAATGTAACATAACAAGTTAAGCTACATACCGCTAGAAGGAACCTCGGCAGTCTTTGATTCTAATTCGGAAAGCAAGACATCCTTATGTGATATGGAAAGGCAAGATTCTTGAAAATCCTTCACAGAGTGTTGTGTTTGAACATGTGCATGATCAATTTGAGCATTCTGGAATGTGAGTGTATCAATTTGCAAGTCTGAGATCACAATATATGAGCTATGTGTTGCAACACCATTAACATCATCTTGACAGCCAGTATCACTCAGCACGCAATTATCTTCAATGAAAGATGAGTCTGAGATAGCAATTAGTGCCTCCAATTCTGTGCCCTCAGAATTGTCGAACATGTCACTTGGACTGGCAGTTGGCTGTAATTTTAGAGGTTCACACTCACCACTAGATTCTGGAGCATTTACTTCGCTTGATACAAGTATTTCCTGTTCAGAAATGATTTTTTGAGATTCATATTTACTACTAGATTCAGAAACACTCAACTCATCTGGTTTGCATACTTCAAGTTCAGAAAGGTTTTGCTCTTTTTTATCGCTCGCCGATGGAAATAATCCACTACCTGAAGAAAAATCAGTTACTACTTGTTCACTGCTTTGTTTATGTTGGCTAGGCCTGAGTTCACTTATACTATCAGACAGGACAGGGATTCCCATTTGGGTTAGCACATTATGGTCCAATGTGCCATTTTCATCATCCAGAATTGCAACTCGAAAAGTTCCAGGTTCTTCTGAACCAATTAATCTATATGTTGCTGAACATTCTTGCAAATATCCACATCCTTATCAGTGGCCATGATTTTTTTTCCCACACTTCGAGCAAATACTCATTTTTTTCAGCAGAATCAATCCCAGCGAATTCAGCAGCATGCAAAAGACCTCGACAAGCAACTGCCATATTTACTGCATCACCATCATCGACTGTAGAACACTCCAACTTGGGCTTGGAGTCAACTTCATTGACTGTACTCCCATCAAAGATCTCACCACCACTTAGAAGATTAGCAGAACAAGTGTCATGACCAGTCTCTTCACTTATCAAAACAAAACATTTCCTCCTGGAATTCAGATTTCTTTTTCTCCCATTGACCAGCCAGATCACTCTGATCATGGTCATCATCCTCCAAATCAGGAGTAACATTGGCACCATGCTGGGAGCTTGCATTGCTGCTAGTTGTATGTGAAGAATTCCTAGAGAACATACGTCAAAGGATGCTGTTTGTATTTCCAACATAAAATGTAGAGGCAGGGACACTTGATAACAATGGCCTGAACATGCTTTGAGGAGTTTTCCAGTGATCCTACAGATAATTATGAATTAGCACAACGCTTGTTGCTTTCACATTTATATATGCACAATGGTAACAGCATTCCATCCAAGCGTTACCATATTTGCAATAGCTTGACAAGCATTACATTTATAGCATGGTCTTCTAACAATTTATAAGACCAGAAAAGCATTAGAATAATTTGCTAAAAAGAAATTACATCTAGAAAATTTTCTTAGAGAATAACTTGCTAAAAATTATATTAAAAATGCACCTTTTTATAATTTGCCAAAAATTTTATTCAAAGATAGAACCCATGAGATTTAGGATTTGATCACAAAAGTCATGACATCTCCCTCTTTATGATGTTATCCAAATTCTGCTAAAGATTAGGAGCTACTCCCCATCTGCCCCTTCTCCCTATACCAGGAAAAAGGAAAAAGTTGACATGAACAAATTTGAAGATCTGGAATGCATGTATCAGCATGCAGTTTGTTGTTAGAGCACTTCACTTAGACTATCTTTTGATCAATCTAGTATGGCTAACTACAACAATCGACGAAAACAATTTTTTGTTGAAGGGTTAAACAACGAAGTGCTAGGATTTTAAAAGCCAAAGTTCAATCTGTGAAAAAAATGTTCGGTATCAGAGGATGCCCTACAAAGGAAAACATGTATCAAAAACCTAAACAAAGAGCCAGCATATTGAGAACAATCTTTTCAGAACTATTTTGAGAAACTAGAACTAATTTCAATAGCTCGCAGCTAATACCATGAATAGACTGCGTATGTCAGTGCTAAAAGACTAACAGAACAGGCAATAAGTATAGTGGAAAGCACACATCAAGTAAAGCCACCTTTCTTGTAATTATAAAGCACCAGTGGTTATCAATTATCATGACTTACTACTCAAAGAATCTCCTCTAGTACCTTTGCCAATGCAAACCACCACAAGCGTCCTGTTGTAGGAGTGCCAGACAGGTTTGCAAAAAAAAGGCTTATTTTCTCAACAGAAAGATAAGAATATAGCAAGTCCTCATACAGGATACTTTTACTTCATCAGCAGCAGGAATGCAGGATAACCATGAGCGAAGCAAAAGTCTTCAATAACTACAATCTGACACAGTAAAGTTTAGAAGAATGGTACATTCCAAGGGCAACAGGAATCCTCCAAACAGAAAGTAAATATATGAGGATTATCCATGCAAATAATGTAGAGGGTCAGGACAATAACTGCAAAACATAATAAAGATTATCTGAACAGCAGAAAAAAGAAACTGATGGCAAATTACCATCTTTCTAAGAGCAGAATCAATAGATCTTTTAGGTGCGGAACTTGCAGATGTGACTCGGGAAATGTTCTTGGAGAATCGGATAGCTCTAGTGTTTGCAAAATCTCTATATTTTCTTGTAGCAGCAGTGGTAGAAACTCCTACACATGCATGTGATTCAACATCATCTTCGAAGGAAGATGCTGCAGAGGGTTTACTAATAGAGCTAAAACAGTCTCCTTCACTATTATGCAGTAACCAGGCACCCCTCGAAGATGGAGATATTGACTGTCTTCCAAATTTTGGCCCAAAACCTCTTCCATGTACAGATGCTGGAGAAAAACCCCGCACACGTGATGCCGACCGATCCGTCAGAGAAGTTTGAACGTTTGGTGGTACATCTGTGGAGAAACCGGGCAGATTTGATTGCTATCCATGTAATTTTGGTGAGGCAGAACTGCCACGATTTGTCTTTACAGGGGATGTTCCCCTTCTACCAGTGAATGCCTGCCCACTGGAACCGGTGCTCATCCTCCGTAATATGGGAGTCAAGGACGTTTGAGCAAGTGATGAAGGCTTCGTTAGAGGAGCGGAAGATCTTCGTGAGGGTGTTGTTGATCGAAGAACAGGAGGCGGGATAGAACAATAAGCTGAAGATGGCGTAATTCTTGAATAAGATACACTATAACCTGATCGAGGAGATGGACTTGCGCTGCTTCGTTTTGTCCTCAGAGTCTTTTCACATTGTCACCACAAAAAAGTATCAAAGACGGTGCTAGTGAAAGAGGAGAAAAATGTAACAAAATTACTAGTTTCTCATACAAGATTATACCATGGATGTTCTCGAAATTGAAATGGGTTGAGTTCTTGTCCTGCCTCTGTACACATTAGCAGGTTGAGGCTCATCGTCATCCAATGAAGGAAACAGGGGAGTATCAGGAGGAGTCAACAGCCTGCTTGGTGACAAGCAATTAACCAATCGTGACTTTGCATGGCTAAACTACTAACAGCAGGTGGCAAGGTGTTACAAAAATGCAGATTAGCACTTCACATATATGCCTCATAGTGGCACAAAACAAAAAGGTAAAATGCAAAGACTCTTAGGAACTTACCAGTCATAATCATTTTTCTCACCAACTGCATTGAGGAGATCTTTGCACTCTCTTCCGGTTGGTACAGTGACCCCAATCTTGAAATCCGAAAAATATCTCAATTGTGCTGATGACATGGAAAAGAAACGGTTGATAGATCAGTACTATGAGTATTAACAATAATGCAAATGCAACAAAAAAAGGGAAAAAGTCAAGGATGGAGAGGAGATATTCATTACATATAGATTCATCAAAATCATCATAGGCATGTAGCAAAAAGTTGTCCCTCTCATGGTTCTGCATCTCACTGAACAAAGCTAGATCATCGTCCTTGACCTTGAGAGGAATTCTACCCTCAAAACTGTGGCCCCTCTTTGGGAATTTTCCACCCTGGGTTCTCTCGCAGGAGAGCGCCTTGGCGAGGGCGAAGGAGGCATCTTTCAGTCTTCCTGTCCTCCACCTACGGACAAGCTTGCTTCCAGCTCCTCGTACATTAATGATGGCTTCCAAATGTCAAAAGAACAAGAAGATGACATACATAGTCTGCCCGACAAAACTTGCAAATAACAACGTCCAAAATCTTTTTCGTCGAGGTAAAGAAGCAGATCGAAACAGTTAGCAGATTCAGCTGTGATGTTAACTGTTCTGTACCATTTAACACATGACAACACGTAGCAATAAAGTAGCATTTTTATGAGAATGATCAGAGAGCAAAGAGGCAAAAGATCAAAAAGGAAGTTAGCACACTTGAAGTCGCCGCAGTTCTGATCGAAGCCTATACAAACTTATGCTACAAATAGACATTCTCGGTAAAAGTAGAAGCGTTTCCCAAAGAATCCGTTCGAACTCAGCACAAAGACACAACAAAATCAATAAATTCACGAAAGCGACTGCCCGTATAAAGGCTCATTCAAGCTACAGAACCCCCTCACGAAAAGCTCCACGTACCGCCACTTTCTTACCTCCCGAGACTCCGACTGCCTCCGATCTCATCCCCGCTCCGCACTCCTCCAGCTAGGATTGCTCCACCGCCAGCAAGGCCACGCGCGAAAGCCGGCTCCCTTCCCGATCACGGCCTCCGTCGGGCGCGAACTCGAGGCACAAACGAGCCGCATTCGGCGGATCCAATCGCGGAGGGGAAGGGCTCAGTTTCCCCACGATTGGAAGGTCGTGGGAGCCGGAGGAGAGGTGGAATTGGAGAGATTTGGAGCGGATTCGAAGGGGATGAACGGGGGAAGAAGCGAGCTCACCGATCTCATTAGGTTTTTCTCCTCCTTCGATCCTTCTTTCTCTGGCTTTTTGTTTCTTTCTCGGCTCCGTAACCGTGTTTCCTCCGACGCTTTCGCTCCGTTCACAGCCGCTGCTGCTCACTCACTCCTCTGTATTGTTGTTATTGCTATAATTATTACTATTATCATCATCATTATTATGATTATGACTATTATATTTTAGACCGGACGGATTAAAATTACTGTAACGTTATCGCTGGGATTAATAATAACTTATAATGATTTCAATGTAGAGAATAATAATGAAATCATATTGACTTGTATGATTCGTGTGCAACGGTTGTTGATTGGTGTCACTTAAATTAAATGGTGTTGTCAACTCACCTCGTAGTCTGCATGGACACATTGAAGCCATGCGTTATAGCATAATTTATCCGGCCCTACATTTCGAACGTTGAGCATAACAAGCTAAGAGTTATGGCAAAGCATATCAAGTGTCCTACCCTAACGTCGTCCTTCGAATAATGCACTCGTCAACTATCATCATTCTTTGGCAGGATAAGAGATACCATAATCCATCACTAGCTTTATGCTATCAAACGCATATGTATAAAACCCTAACCCCCAAGTCAAACAAAAGGCAAGCGAGCTCTATCTCAACTAAACTTCCTCCGCCTACTCGATTGACTTGAGCGTTAGAGGGGTTGGGGTGAGACATCCCCCGACGTCAATCATTTATGTAGGGCCCAAGCACATCTAAGGAGGATCTTGGAGCAACGCAAAAGCATGTTAGGACAAGGATAAGGCGCTTCTCGGGACAATCAAGAACTTTCTCTGGTAGATGAGCCACACCTTGGGATGACGACAAGTCAATTTTTGTGAGCTAACAACGCCTCGAGAGTCCACGTATTACCTCAACTACCCACTCAGGCCACCTTATCAACCTCAACATGAGTCCCTAGAATAGATCTTCATCTTCGAGATTGAACCAAGCCGTGTTGGCTCTTCAGCATGAAAGCAACAACAATAAGTTATTTTTTAATTGATATAGTGAATTAGATTTAAAGATTAATTAAATATTTTTTTAACTAATTACTTATTAATCTATATAGTTAGTTATCTTTAACATTCTAATCCTTATATTTTCAAAGATTACATTAGGATCTTACACATGTTGTCAGAAAATAATACTAAAATAAAATTAAAAAAAATATTTTTATAATATTATTCTTGCCAGGCAAACAAAAAAAATCAACTGAGAGAGATTTTGTTAAAAAGAACACAAGAGCCTCCTACAACTCAAAAAGTTGTAAGAAGATAAAGATTAAAGAATAAAGAATTAGTTGAAACTTCTATTATTTATCTTGATATAAATAATTCATGGCAATTGGCATTATTAATTGTGTATTCTATCGACAGAGGAGGATTTATAGAGGATAAGAGAGATAAATATGAGATGGTTTGATGTAGGATCCCCATTACTGGATCCACAAAAGTCAAAGAGAGAGAAGGTTGGAGTCTGGAAAAGGCCTCGACTGCATCAGACTGTCCATACACGTCCTTTGTCTACGATCACAACGAAAGCGAAAGGAGAGGCATCAATTTTATTGGTCAGCCTCCTTAAGTAGTTCCTCTTTTTGGAACTGCTGTGGGAATTCCTCTTTAAGACAAGACAAAGGTATGTAGGAGAAGTACACATGTTTCGTCACTCGATTTATTGTAAGCTTTCTTTCTGTGGTCATGTCAACTTCGATAGTACATTAATACCTATTACGGATGTCCGTCATAATTGAAATTATATATTATAAATTTTCGAAAAAATTGGACAAATTCTCAAAAAACAAAAAAAAGAAGCATGAAGTCTTCCTCTCTTTTTTTTTTTTCCACACAATATCACTTTTTATTTTATTTCCATATAGTACTTTTTATTTTTTTTAATGTTATTACTCTTGACCTCTACCTTATTATAGTTGCCTCCGTCATCTTATCGTCGTCATTTCGTGATTGTCTCCGATCACCGATATCCCTGATCGATTTCATCTTACATTTTTTACTCGTCACATGATTGATTAGTTGATTCTCCCCGAGTTCAATCATGACGATGCCCTCGGTGGTGCACTCTTTCCATAACTTATCTCCCTTGCACTTCAAGGGGTAGAATATCACTAGTAGTTATTGAATTCTGAAAAAATATTCTTGCATAGGACCCAACATTGATAGTTTGAATGCTCGCAACATTATGGGTAATGGGGGCATGCTTGTAAGAGGAGTTACAATCGAAAGCAGTGCACGTTGATAATGATTGGGAATCAGGTGCACATGACATCAAGGGCGATGAAAGGGTCAAGTGATGGAGATAAGAGCTATGAAGATGAATGAACCAATCTTCTCGTACTCATTGGGGTTAGAGGGAATATGGGTATTGTATTCCATTTGAATGATTTAGTTGGTGTTGAGATCTTATCGCCAAGGACATAATATAGGCCATAAAAGATGATGAGATGAGGTAGTTATCATAGTAGAGCCATGGGGACTACGACGGAGGAGGGGTTTACGAGCAAAGAAGGAAAGAAAAAATCAATGGAGACGAGAAGTATTTATGGAAGGAGAGAATGGAGGAAAGATAAGAGTGTTGAATGAAGCGAAATAAAATTTAGAGATTATTGGTGTCATGGACATTATTACTATAGTTGAAGAGAAGCAATAAAGCAAATGTATCGTCATTTTTCTTGGGGGCGAGCGGTTAAAGGAGATAGCAAAGAAGGGTGAAGGCAACGATAGATATGATAGAGACCATGATAAAGGAGATAGCAAAGAAGGGTGAGGACATTATTGTTATATAGGAATAAAGTAAAAAAAAATTCTATGAGAGAAAAATAAAACTTGATTTTTTTTAGGATTTGTCAAAAAAAATCATAATTTAGATTTTTCTCAATTGATGTGACTTTTTATTTATTTTTCTATCAATACTTTATTTTTCTTGTATATCCAAAATGCTCCTCACATGATATTAAAAAAAAAACTTCAGTTCCTTACATTGGAATCAGCCGATGGCATGGAGCAACTCATCCTATTACAATATGCTTTATGACTCCATAAAACATCATATCACTATAAAAAAAATTAAAATATAATATAAATTAATTTATCATTTTCGGTAAGATTTCAAATACATATTCTTATTAATTTGGGAACAAGAAAATGAAAATAACTTGACTTCTACATCAAGCTTTTTTGATAAATCGACGATATCTTTCACGTATTCATTATAAATTTATATAAAATATTAAAAGTATATTTAAAATCATTATGATCGGACGGATTCAATGCAAAGGAAAGAAACTTTACGGTCTGTCATATTGAGCAGTTTTTTCGAGAATTCGCTCAATATTCTATTGTGCGATGATATACTTTTTATTGAGTTTATACTTACCATATGCAAAATTTTGATCCGAATCATTTTATCCTTATCGGGTCGGAGCTACGAATGCGACGATTCCGGTTCAGCCAAACGGGTCGGGTCGAGGGTTGCCGCCGCCGGCTCGATTCAGACCCGACCCACTGACGGCCACGCACCGGTAAGCTCGCACCACGTGTCCCACCGGCTTCCTTCCAGAAGCACGTGGCCACGTCACGCATTGCATCAGACACCTTACGAAGCGCGTCACAGGGGATCCCCACGTCAAAGAAAACGTGGCGCTCTTTTACTTTCGTGACCAAACCCTGGACGTCGGATCCGAAAGGGATCCCGTGACCTGAAAGCATCAGGGCCGTCCATTCGAATCGTTAGTTTACACCCGTGAACCTCACCATCGCCGCTGGATCGAACTAAGCGGACGGCCGATACGAGCCCCGTGGGTCTCTATAAATAAGGTACGAGGGCTACGCTCGATCGCCATTCGCTGTCGATCGACTCGCGGGGTCTCGTGTGCGCGTGTTGGCGAAGAGAGGATAGGAGAAAGGCGAAAGGGAGGGCGAAGAAGAGAAGCGATATAGGGAGATAGAGGGTGGTGTCGGTTTCTAGGGTTTTTCTTGGGGGACCGAAAGCGGCTTCGGTCTTCGATTCAGGTTTTTAAATCGTTTATGGTTTCTTTCCCTCTCGCCTTCCGATTTTTTCTGCTCTCTTGTGGATAAATCTGGCTGGGATTTGGTATCTTCGATTTTGTAAGGTTGGTTAAAGGAGATTCGTTTTGAATTCTGAGATAGCAATCTTTTGGATCACGGTGTTGGTTTTGACTTTTAGGGTTTCTCCTGCATGGTGCGATTCGGTGGTTAGGTTTTCGATTTTTAGGGGGGTGGGGTGAAGAGAGCTTGGTTGAAAATTTGAGTACATTTAGGGTTTTAGCTTGTGATCTCAGAAGCTCTGAATTGGTCTTTGTTGTTGGATTAGTGAAGGAGGATTTGGGTCAAGTTGGCATTTGTTTGTATTTGGTAGCAAGCTCAGGTTTACGGGATAATTTTCACTATTTCTAGTGTAATTGTGCATATTTCAGTGAAAGATCTTCCGGCCATAAATAATTTGCTAAATTATAGATTCATCCCAAATGGCCACTGATAGAATAATAATACGCCCTTCTTGGTAAATTTGTCGTTTGTAACCTACAAAGAAATTAAAAAAAGACAATCAAGTTATTTTGCGGCAAATAATTTGGATGCATTGCAACAGATAATGTTGTGCAATCTTTTCACATGATTGATGTGAACAGACAGATTGATTATATGGCACCAACGGTTCTTCTAGAGTACACCAATCAAAAGCAGATGAAGAAAAGTTCACAAGATCTTTCCTTTGCAATGGGGAAGCTGCAGAAATTATGTTCCGGTTCTGTCGTCGACTACCAACATGGATTAGAGGTGATGCTTGAATCGGAATGTTTTGCGAGCTCAACTCATGCTGATTCTAAAGATTCCACTTCTCCAAAGAGGAAGAGGTGCATAACCTTAAATGTGGGCAGATGCAATAGTTTTAATGTACCACTGCAGGTGATTTGTTTGTCCAAGATGTCTGGTTTTCAAAAAAAGGAATTGAAAACGAAACTAAAATCAGAGCTAGAGCAAACCCAGGTGTTTCAGGAGAAACTGAACTTGAGGAGTGTCTTAAATGTTGGTGTTACAACATCATCTTCTATTAATGAGAATGAGAAAAAAAGTGATCCCACAGTGCGGAGTGGCTCCCAGATGAAGCGTGGGATATCAGGAAAGTTTGAGTCTTCAAAAACAGCTGAACATCCAGTTTCTGCGAACAATTCAAATTTAGTGTTGATGAAACAGTGTCAGACACTCCTCAAGCTGTTGATGTCGCACCAGTATGGTTGGGTTTTTAACAAACCAGTTGATCCTAAGAAGTTGAACATTCCTGATTATTACACTGTCATTAAGCAACCAATGGATCTGGGCACCATCAAGAAAAAAATAACCTCGGGTGCTTACTCCAGCCCATGGGGTTTTGTTGCAGATATTAGGCTTACTTTTACAAACGCGATGACATACAACCCACCGGGTAATGATGTCCATATCATGGCAGATACAGTGAGCAAGTTCTTTGAAACTCGGTGGAAACCAATAGAAAAAGAGTTAGCTTCAGCAGATGCACATGTTAAGAGAGAAACTCAAGCTCCCAAGTCAGTGTCCTCATCCAAAAAGAGGAAAATGCCCCTTAATGACTCCAATACCCCTGCACCTGAGAGTATAATACCCAAGATGACTGATGAGGATAAACAAAGTCTTACCAGACGATTGGAGTCACTTTTGGCAGATCTACCAGATTACATTATTGATTTTCTGAGACGGAACAGTGGAAATATGAATCAGAGTTGCGAGGAAATAGAAATTGATATTGAGACTCTTGGTGAGGACACACTTTTTGAGTTGCAAAAGCTTCTAGATAACTATTTGCAGGAGAGAGAGACAAGACAAGTGAAAGTGAAGCAGTGCAAAGGGGAGGTACTCTATTCTGTTTGGGCTTTATGGGGTTTTCTCTTTATTGTTTGAACATTAAATGTTTTAGGTAAATACAGCCATTAATGTACCTTGTGCAGGTGAATGAAAATGGTGTACACACTTCAGCGATGTATTCTTGTAAAGGTTTGTATTCTTGTTTGTGCATATTATTCTTTGAAGGATAAATGTACTTGTGGCCAGATACAAAATTAAGCTTGTGCCTTCTCATTCATTCTCAGGCAATGATTTTGCTGATGAGGATGTGGATATCTGTGGCGATGATCCTCCCATGTCTTGCTACCCTACTTTAGCAATAGAAAAGGATGCAAAGGCTAGAAATATTAAGTGTAGCAGTTCAAGCAGTTCAAGTAGCGATTCAGGTTCTACCGGTGGTGCGTACTTGTTTGCATGTGCTGGGTCATGTCCATATATCTTCTTTTTTGCTTGTATTTTTTACATATCATCCTAGTTACAAGATTGAGATTTTGAGTGATTTTTTTGTGTTTATGTGGTAAAATCTTGTCTATATGTTAACAATACATGGATCCTTTTTTTTATGGAGTTGCATATTTCTCTCATATGCCAAATTATGATATTCAGTTTCTATTAGTTTGTTCCATCATTGCACCTATTCCTGCAATTTTCCATGTTAAACCGATCGTCACCTTTGATCAATAGATTGATTCCATCTATTTCCTTCTTTTGAGATCTCTGTTGCCTGTTCTGGTACTCCAGTAGCTAGCAGTAGAAATGCCAATAGGAAGATGAAGCGGGAGGCTGAGCAGAAGAATAATGAAGAAGGGTTGAGGTGTAGCATTAATAAAAAAAACAAGGAACCTTGTTTTGTTTTTAATAATTCTATTTTGGATAATTTTTTCTCGGTTTTTTGTTTAATCTATTTTTTCCAGTAAAAGCTACAAGTTTGGTGGAACTCATCCTGATTTGGTGAACCTTGATGACTACTATGTGCATTTGGTTGATGTGCAACAAACCACATAGGATTGCTGTGTAATTTTCTTTGTTAATTCAAATGTACTAGATTTTGCTACCATTTTGGCTTTACCATGTGTTGTTCTAATTTGAAATACGAAACATTGAATGTGTCTTGGGAGATCAATTCAGTTGAATTATTTGTTAACATGTTGGTGGAGTCATTTTTCTGTCTTGTTATGCTTTTGACATTTTTAAGCTCTAGTCACTGATGGTGTCAATTCATATTGCTGTGGTACATGTCGAAGGTCATGTATCATGTGAACATGGTATTTTCCCGAGTTTAATAAGGGTATGCCTAATGGACCCAACCTATGCCATGGACACATATCTTGTGTTGACCTGTTTGTCGTCATGTTTTGAGCCAGCATGAAGCCAATATGTTAGCTTGAATGCCATTTCACATGCTATTGAAATGCTCCCTTTACTGAAATGTTTTGTCATGATCTCTTCCAAATTTTCATCTATCTAGATACCCTTGCGAAATTGTGAACTGCTTTTATACCACATTAAGCGTTAAAAGCCCATTTAGATGCCTTTGCCAGGCTCCATCATTTAGCTGATAGCATAGTGATTTATGGATATAAAGACTAAAATGCCCACACCAGTGTGTCTATATATGGGTTCTGCCTATCTTCAACGCTTGCCTTTAAGGTGTCTGTGTGCAGTTTGAAAGGGATGAAGCAGGCAAAGAAAGGGTGGGTTCCACCAATAAATGAAAATAAGAGAGAGAGAGAGTATTTTAAGTATCTTCTCATCCTGAAAGTCATTCTCCACCAATATATGGGTTCTGCCTATCTTCGACGCTTATAGGGGTAGTTTGGGATTTTTTTTGAATTAGGGGCACTGTTTGGTAAAAACCAAAATGGGGGTATTGTTTGGGAAATACCGAAAATGTGGGTATTTTCTAGCGAAATCATCCAAGGTCAAATAGAGGGAAAATGTCAACCAGAGTTTTCAGATGTTGGCATGTCTTGTAAATATTGCTTATTGTCGCATCTAAGCGATTTTTGCATCTGCCATTTGACCTACAAGTTGCCTTGGTAAGTTCTCTACAGCAAAAAATCTCTGTCAAGATGTATTTTTTGTTGGATGAATTCTAGGTCTGTGGTCCATGAATTGCAAAAATGATACCTTTATTGGGTTAGACGTTGTGTCTTATTAAGATTGGTTATGGTTGAATTAAAGCTAATTCAGTTTTGTTTCATCTCCTTGCAGTAAACACTTTTCATCTAACAATTAAAATAGACCTTTTCAATTTATAACCGATTCTTCTTTTTCTTGAGGTATTTGGAACAGCTTCTGAGTTCTTGAGCATGTTTTTACTTGGAATAAGGCTTTTTCTTCTTTTATTTTGGTTCCAATGTATCATATCTCCTCCCATTAGATTAGCCAAATTGGATAGAAGCACCCATGAAAAAATTCCTGGGTTGATGTATAGGACTCCATTAATCAGGTTTTTGAGAGGTGACATAATTTCCTTTCAGCTTCAAGGATCGATTTGATCAACCTAAACAATAGTGTTAAAAATTACAAGATGAATATATGCTCATTTTGGTTCATTATCTTTTTACTTTCGATTATGCAACTTTGCTCTCACAGACTTGCACCTGCAGCTGTACGGCAACCTTGTTCTCCACCACAATGATGGTGGTTTGACATGCTGCTAGATGTTGGCTGCTCTCCCTTTCTGTCCACTCCCTCTCTTAGTACACCACTCCTGTCTCACACTTTGACACCTGTGCTTCTTCTCTGGTGGTGCTCTGCTTTTAATTCTATTTGCTAGTCATCCCTTTCTCTGTTACTATCCATCTCCCATGTTCCCATTCTACCTTTTCACTTCATCAGCCTTTGGTTTGTTAGATAATGTAGTTCATGTGTACATATTACTTCTTGTAAAGGAACAACCTGAAGTATATGTGTATCATCTTGTAGTGTATAATAATGCTTCAAAAAAAGAAATTTTTTACTAATGTAGCTTTTTACTAGTGTTTGATAATCTTTCATATTATCTTGAAGTATGTTATAATACTTTATATTAGTAGTTGATTTCGTCTCAACTTCTGGCGAGTAGTAAATGCCTTTTGAGTTGAGATGAACTCATGATTCTCGTTACTTCCAAGCATTGGTGGTTGGGATGGTTTACTTTCCATGTTGGATCTGGCTAGAAAACAAACATTCTGATGCTTTGTCAGATATATGTTTAATATCATTCATGAGAAGGCATGGATTTTGAGTTGAGAATATGAAGCATGTTATCGGGATACTGTGTTCTATTAGATTTTGATCTGAGGTTATTCTTTTGCACTCATCCAATGATTTGGGTGGATGCAGTATTGCTGGTTGTTCATTAGCATTTATGCCAGCTTTTATAGATATGATTCAGTGCTCAATTTTAATTCTGGTACTTGTATCTATTATTATGCCCGTGTTGCTGGTTAATTGCAGTCAATATTATTCATCCAGCAATTTATATAAAAAAAATTCTATAGGTGTGCTTTTCTTAGTTTTTACCTTCTAAGAAGTCCATCTTCTGTGCATACAAAAACTTCTGGACATTAATCCTTTCTTGAAAATGCTGACATGCCAACCCAAGTACCTTGTGGGGCCGGTGGCCATACACAGATTTTCCCATTGTATACAAGTCTAGTGTTCAAATGTAATGATTGTGGTGTCATTTTTGGATTCGAGCTTAGATTCTCTGTCACTCTCTTACTCTCTCTGCTTCCTCTCCCTCGCTGAGAATAGACAGACATGAATTGACATTAAACTTCACATCTGAGGCCACAAATCACAAGTCGTTCTTGAATACAAGTGGGTTAAAAGCTGTATTGAAATGAGTTTATACCCACAAACCATGGAGGGTGCTATCCACCAAAACAGTGGGAAAATCCACAGCTTGCTTAGGATGGGAGTAGTGATCCAAGCTAAGGTGCAGCAGAAAATATACACTTATTACATCAAACCTTTTGAGTAGCACAGTGTGCCAGTGGCAAATTCTGGTTTTTTTTTATGTGTTAGCTTAATCTATGAATTTTGTTTTTTTTACTATTTTTGTCGCTTCCCTGAAATTTTACTCATTTAAGTGTTGGCATTTAGACCACATAATTAAAATGTATCTTATTTGTTATGTGAGCGGTCATTTGTACATAAGTGCTATGTATGACTTTGTACATAACTGTACTTCACATTTTTCAGACAGATTCTAATACAATGGAACATATGACAATGTATAAACATTCAGTGGCATATATTTTGTAGAAAAGTCTAAGTTTCAATGTTCAGTGGTGAATATGTTCTCATTAAGCTCCATTGAGGGTAATGCCAACAAGACGATCGTGAGAGTACCTTGTCATTTCTAAATGATTCTTTGTGTCTTCTTTTGTTTTATATAATATCTTTGATGAGGATTCAGTCAGTGTGCTTTGCCATGAGTTTATAGATTGTTATGAACATGTCAAAACTACTTTTTTCAATCCTATATTTGGTATTCGCCGTATATCAGCGACTTTATCTATGCTATAGTAACTTCTTGGATTTGATGTTTCCTAATTGTCTATTTGGTTAAGCAGACTTAGTTTTATGATCATCGTACAATTTTTTTTTTCTTAATGTAAAGGCACTTGGCAGTCACATGATGCTTCATGCTGGCTTGATATTTACTATCCACCTTCAGTTTTATGAGCAATATTTTCTTGGTTTCACCTTGCCACTGAATATATTTCTTTGGAAGTTTCATTTACCTGGTACAGCTTCACCTTTATTTTCCCCCTAATTTAAGTTGGTAAAATTGTGCTTCTATTTAATCTTAGTTCTTCTTAATCAGAACTTTATTGTTCTAATGCTGACTGTTTTATGTAGCTTAAGTTATTGAGGATTTTCACTTGATTTTCTTTTGTTCTTACACTGGTAACTGCTGCATAATATCAATATTATTGACATGTAAAGTCCACTACATTTCTTTAGTAGAATCTTATATCTTATGTTTTTTTTAGAATAATTAATATTAGTTGCAAGTCCTTTATTATTTTTAATTTCTTGTAGAAATTGGCTTGTTGGATAACTTCTTGATATAAAATCAAACATGTTTTTGGAAAGTTTTGTTTCACATATTATTTTTTTTTTAAATGACCTTTTCTTGGAAGTCTCTTAGCATCACACAAGTTTACTTGAGTGTGACCTTTTCTGGATTCTAAATTTTGTTCATTTTTATATTTAGACTCTGACAGTTCCACCGGGAGTGAACCAGAGGAGCAAGTTTCTGTTCCAAAAGATGCTGCTAAGGTATGTCTCACAATGTGACACCAGATAGTGAGGTATATGCTTCCTGGACAATCAAACTGGTTTCTTTTAGTGCTAAATATGACCTTAATTTTTATTTGATGTTTTCTATGACATGCTTGCTCATCCTTTATTTTTGGCTTCTTAAGAATTAGATATTCATGAACTTAGTTAAAATTTCTGTTGCTGTACTTTGCATCAGGAAAATTCAGGAACTAAGGCAAGTTCTGATCAAGAGAAAAGTGACGTAATGAACCCACTTGACTTTAATAGTAAGTTTTTGATGTCATAAACCATTGATTTAAAATAATGGGAAATCATTTATTTTGTTTTTAGTTCAGCATTAAATTATCTTGTATTATTGGCAATTTGCAGGAACTTGGAGTGGGTTGAGTCAGTCAGAGAAAGATGCTCATCCTAGATCTTTATTGGTCGAGGCTGATGAGTGCCAAGAGGGTAAGCATGCATTTCTAAGAAGATATCTATGAGACCACAGGGATTCTAAGCATTTAATTGCATGGATCGGCTTATCTTTTCCACTGGAAATTTTAGGGGAGCATGCTCCATCTGAGAGACAAGTCTCCCCACAAAAGCTATATAGAGCAGCTTTGCTTAGGAGCCGTTTTGCTGATACAATTCTCAAAGCTCGGGAGAAAACTCTTCACCAGGTTGGTTAAACAGTGACGACTGGTCAGCTGAGAATTTAGTGTAATGCTGCTTTGCATGTATCTTGTGCATGCATAGTCTTGATTGATTATATATGTCGCTGAGGTCAGGGTGACAAGGGGGACCCTGAAAAACTACGGCGTGAGAGAGAGGAAATTGAACGACAGCAAAGGGAAGGTAGCGATGCTTCTCACCCTCATCTCCCTGCACCACTTACTCTTGAAGTTCAATTTGTGTAAGAACCTTTTGTTCTATCCTGGTACAGAGAGAGCACGGCTGCAAGCAGAAGCTAAAGCTGCTGAGGATGCTCGCAGACAAGCTGAAGCAGAAGCTGCAGCTGAAGCTAAGCGCAAAAGAGAGCTCGAGAGAGAAGCAGCACGTCAGGCTTTGCTGAAGGCAAGTATCAGTTTCTGTTTGCTGATCTTCTTTTGTTGTTCTGTGCCCTTGTATATTCTTTAACTGTAGATATTTCTGACATCACCGTAGGTGGAGAAAACTGTGGACATCAATGAGGACTGTCGGATTCTTAAAGATCTGGAAATGCTTAGAACAGCTCCAGCTGAAGAAATACCGATGTCCCTTGATGAGAAGTGCTCAGATTATTATCTGAATGGCATAGGGGGCTTCAAACTTGGTGGTAACCCTTTAGAGCAACTTGGGCTATTCATTAAAGTCGATGATGAAGAAGAGGAAGAGGGTGAACCTAAAGGTGCTCCTGAAATTGATGTTGAGGAAGGAGAGATTGATTGACTGTATAATACTATATTGCTTAGATTTTGCTCTTGGATCTGGTCAGAACTATACATTCTGACATTTGGAAAAGATAATGCAGCTCAAGTGATTAGTTGGGCTGTTAAGTGTCTTGGTTGTGGAGTGTGCTTCTTCCTGGGGCATTAAATTGACTGCTGCTACCGTTCAGTGAATGGAGAGATTAAAGGTGGTTCATTTGCTATTAAGCCAGCATTCAGATTTGGAAGTCCGGTTTTCTGTGAAGTACTTCAGAGTTGGGGAAAGCTGAAAATTTATCTATGGTTCAGAGAGAGGATTGGCTGATTTGTTCCTTGGAAACCAAGCATTTGGCTTTCATGCTGGGAGATTGCTTTATCGAAATTGTGCATGAGGTTTCTTATCTCATAGCTTCTTTTTCATAATTAGGTTTCTTTATGTTCTCTGAACTGAAAAGAAGCAAATACATAGAAACAAATTCCTTGATTTTTCTCCTTGAGATGGTTTACTCTCGAGCATGACACTATTTATGTTAAAAGTTTGCCTAAGAGATGTACTGGGGCTTTGGGCTTTGTATGTTGCTGGACATTGAGTGAGATTGGAATCCTCTGCACTCTAAAAAATCAATGAAGTGAAATGAGAGACATGAAACCTTTTGTACTGGATTTCTTTTGCTGCTAGTGTTATTTTTAATTTATGAGTGATAATTTGTTGGTGTTCTCATCATGAACTATGTTTATTGCACTAGCCTTCAGGAGTAATATGAATGTGCTACATTTGTCTTTCTGGTTTGTTTATCAATGGACTGTCCTATATTTACTTTCTGATTACTTTTGTTTATCAGAGTTACTGCCTCTCTTGCCTATCTTTTCTTAATATTTGTCCTATATTGCCTCTCTTTTCTTAATGGGTTTAGTGTTTGTAGATTAATTTGTCAATATATTTATGAATGAATCTGTAACCAATCAACTTGTGAGTCTAAATTACTAGTTGCTCGTTAATACCATTACGCATTTGCAACCTTCTGGCTTGAGGTATTAACATTTTTATATACGCATCTGAAAATAAGCAAATTGATGCATCTAGGAATAAATAATTTTCAACAATAAGTAAATAATAATAATAATCAATTAAGTAAAATTAACACAAAGGTGATTTTTCTATAGAATGCTTGCATTTTTGGCATGTGTTAAAGTGGTATCTCTATTTTACTTTTTTGTCCCTGATTTGAAAATATTCACCTCTAAAAAAAATATTTTTTTTTTGTTTTACTAATCTACAACTGTCATTTAGCTCATCTATAATACTCTCTATAATTCTTTATTTAGTTCATTTATAGTGTCTCTCAATAATGCTTATAGTATTTTTATTGAGGTATTGAAAGCATTGTAAATGTTATTGAATAATATTATAATGATATAATATTATTTTTTAAATATATTATTATAATATAATATCTTTTAGGTTTATAGTTGATTTGGTTGAGGTTAGGAATCCATTTAAATTATTTATAATGTTTTATAATATTTTTATTATGGTGGCCAAGATTTCATAATGAATTATTATTTTTATTGCTATTTAAGTGATGTTACTACTAAATTATTATAAATATAATATATCAAATAATTCCTAACATAATATATTAAAAAGATTTGAATGCATACTTTCTTTTCTTCCCTCTTCCAAAGCTGCCGCCAATAAATTATCGTCGAGAAGGAAACCGAGCAAGTCCATTTTGATTCGATTCTCTCCTTTTCGGACCTCCAATCGCTGCATCATGTGAATGTTTGATTCAGGAGATGTCCGCCGCTCCTATAGCTCCTATAGCCTCTCTTCCACCGAGGGTTCGCCCTCGCTTCCATCCAGCTACGGATGGTATCATTTGGCTCTCTTATTTGACCTAAGTAGGGCTCTGGGCACGGATTGGTTTTCCATTTGGCGATTTGAACTGGAGAAGTCCATTTTTTATGGTTTGTTCGATCCTGACTTTTTCGTTTATTCTCGTTTTGCTGCCTCGTTGTCGGAGACACCTTTGGGCCTATGAGTCGATTTTGTTATATAAGCATTTATTGAAATCATGATAAAATTAAACTACAAAAGGCTACTTCAGGGATCGTTTTGGCTTGTCGGTTCCCAAATCGGCATCTTTCTCGGCGACGATAGCTGCAAGCTCCATGACATGTTTCCATTGATGTTTGATGCGGTTCGACCAGCATGATATGTATACATATTCGGAAGTTGAAATTATTCGTTTTGAATAACAACAAAAAATGGATCTCTTTGGTGTTGATAAACTTTGCAGCTTAAGACGCACTTCAGATGCTAGTAACAGTATCAAAGTTAATATCTGAGATCAAAGAAGCAACACTCAAGGGCTGAGCTTTAAGTGTTCGGTGGTTGTCTTCAATCATATTTTCTACCGAAATATATCATCGGATAACAACAGAATATTTGCTGCCCGAAATAGAACAAAAAAGATGTGGATTGGTCAAGATGTCGACTAACCTAGTTTACAGGAAATAGTTGTTGCAACATGCTGTACATCATTCTTTCCAATAACCTGAAGATGTTTGTTTAAAGCTTCTCAGTTTTTACTCATGTTTTAGTTAAGTTGTATAATTATGCCCATTCTATCCACAAATATTCTTGGCTTTGCCAGCAACAGATACGTTTTTCTCCTAAGCATAAACCAATACTTGTTTTTTTTTCTTTTTCCTTTAGTTTCTTATGGCTGGTGTAACATGGGATAGCATTTGATTGAATTTTCAGGGAAGTATGGTAACCAGAAGAAGTTGCTCTACATGTAAAGCTTTTGACCTTCTATCTGCCCCAGGTTTTTATATATAGTTGGACAAGTAGTAAAATAGACAGAGCAGATGCCTGTTGTAGAATTTACTCCGAAAGGGGTTCCAACTGCAGTGAAGAATAGAAAAGAAGAAGAAACATGATAAATGTTATCTCTGGATGCTCCTTTTTCATTGTTTGCTCTTCTATCATTTGTTTTTTTTTCTTTCTGGTTCTTTAGTTTACCTTTATTCTCAAAGACTGTTAAGTATAAGATTGGAAGAAACAAGATAAATGTTATCTCTGGATGCTCCTCTTTCAGTGTATGCTCTTCTATCAATTTTTTTTTCCTGGTTCTTTAGTTTACCTTTATTCTCAAAGACTGCTAACTATAAGATTGGCTCTACTTTTGATTCTTTTTATTCCCTTAGATTTGTTCAGCATAGGATTCTTTTTTAAAAAGTGAAAGTTGAATTATTTAAAAGCTAATGTGTTTGCCAACTCAGGCGAATAACATTTTCCTCTACATAAGTCCTTAAGGTCCTCTTGAAGTTTTATTTACTCTTGTTTGTATGTGTTTGTGTCCCAAAATTTATGTACAATTTAGCTGGTTTATTTTCGTAAAATCTGTCAATTCTCTGGCTAAGAATATTGGATGATGCTTTCATGTTAAAGTAACAATTTTTGCACTGTTCCAGAGGTGAATTGTAGGATCTCTTATGTGAAAATCAAGGGTGAGCTTTGGTGCCACCGTAAGATGTCCATTTGCAACTTTGGTAGTCAGAGCTAGGGTCATGGAACATCTGCTTTGTTGTATTTTGTATTAATGGGAGCCTTGTGTAATGGCTTACATTCTTTTTATTTCTCATTGCAATGGATAACATCCTCAAACTTTTCATACATAAAGCTTGAAACATTACAATATCTTTGAACATTTCAAACCATGTAGGGGGCTCAATGATGAAGGTAAGATAGTAACTTAAAATGGACTTGCACTATTAGAAACTGGTAGGCCTTTTTAAATTTCACTGGTGAATCACTGAAAGTTTCATATATAACTATATATATAGACATATAACTTCCACTAGTGGATTGTTAAATATTTCATATATGTTCCTCATCACACAGGAAATTATAATACTGACAATAAAACAATCTACTATCCTTTTGGCTTGTAAATGGAGCATCATCCCTTTCAGCCTATCAAACATGTTGAGTTTTCAAAGAGCTTTGCAGTTCTTAATGCTCACCATTTGTTTTGTATATAACTTTATGAAGAGAAATATGTTCCGTTTTCTTTATGAGATGAATTTTTGCTGTTTTTGGTCAATTATTTTTTGTTCTATATATAGTAATCTATGCATCTACAGCTCCTTGTTAGATTCAATTTTAATTCATTTGAGCAGGTAAGCTGTTGATTTGACTAATTCTGAAGTGCTACTTACAGATGTTTTGATAAAGATTTCTAATTTGCAAGATAGTCTCTCATGGGCAAGCAAAGGGTTGCTTATGGAGTGTGTTATCACTCATTGATGCCAGCACATGAAAGGTAAATGTTTTTAATCAATGTTGTTGACTGATAGTTCTACTAAACAATGACGTTTCTTAGAAATGAATACAATCAGTTGGTTGAACTTTCTTCTAGAGAAGTAATTGCACTTTTCAGATTATTATTATTATTATTATTATTTTGTTTCCAACTGTTGATGAGTAACCTCTACTTCCCTTGGTGAGTTGTTTTGGATTTCCTGAGCTAGTCACTCCATTTCAACAATCTGGTTCTCGATAGCATGCAGTAAACAATAGAAATTATGCATTCCATCAAAGGACTTGTCTGCCACAAAAAATAGTTACATTATAATAATATGAACAAAGCAACATGGATGTCATTAATAGAAACCATCTAGTGGAACCAAGCAACTAGGTCTAAGGGTGCGTTTGGGGACACATTTGAAATGTGTATTTGTATTTAGTAATTTTTTTTTCAAATCACATTTAGTCTTGACATTGTATTGCAAGTGCTCAAATGTTGATGTTATCTCAGAGTAACATTAGTATTTCAGTATTTGTGGAATGTTAATATAATTTTTTAAATTCTGAAAGTACCTTATGACTTTATTTAAAATTACATAATTATCAATTTATCATAATAATTTAGTGAAAAACCAAATTTATTTATTTTCAAAGATTATGTTATATTTCTTTATATGATTATATTATTTATTTATTATATATTTGGGTCATATGAATTTTTTTATAAGATTGCATATATTTATATATTTATTTACTTACTTATTAATTTAAATAAAAACTATATTCGCTTTATAATAAATATTAAAAATATTAGATAGGTAAAATTATCACAAAATATTCAATGGACTTTTGAAATATAATTTTACCAAACAATACTTACGTTAATGCATGTTTAAAATGTAGTTTTCATCTATTGTTTATTCAAACATTCAGGGCATTCTGCAATTGCACATTCATTGAACCCCTTTTCTCCAACTGCATATTAAGAATGCAAATGTGTTTTCAAAGACAGCCTAACTACAGTATCTGTAGTTGATGACATTTTGTTCATATCTAATGAGCACCGTTTTGGCAATACAATGAATCAAGCATGTCAGGCTAATCTTGTTGCCATCTACATAGTTGATTGGCAAGGTCATGAGAAAAATGCGTAGTCCTTTGCACTTAATATGATCGTCCTCATTCCTCCAATAGGTGATAAGATCATCAGTAGAACCCCCAGTATAATGCAGATCTAAAGATCATCAAGACGACAAAATTAGCTGCTGACTAATCTGAGAAGTTAGATCTTGAGAAGAGCTGACTTACCCAGTTTGTGATCCAAGACAAGCTGAACTTCTTTGGCTTGTAGATAGCTAGCCACATGATGCAGGGGAGCTGTGAAATATATTCACCATATGTTAAATAGGAAGAAGACAAAATAATTACTTAACGCAATCACAAAAACATTAAAACTTGAGTGGTTTGGCTTTTCTTTTATGTTGGTTCCCGTTTCAGACTCAACATTAGCAGGAGACTTATCACTGGACCCTTTTTCTTTCACATCTTTGAATGAGTAGAAGATCAAGATATGTAGTTTGATGAATTAAGAGAAAGAACAGAGAATATGGCTTACAAAATAAGTTGTTGGTGCAAATGCAAAGCCTCCGAGAAACCCAAGCAAACCCCCAAAGAAAGGGACGGCTATGCCCACGAACATTGTAAATGCTGCAGAGGAATTATATTGAGAACAGATTGAACAATGTCTGTAGTTTTGTTTCTATAGAAAAATATGACTGAGGGAGAATGACTTTACCAACATAAGCACTTCTTGCAACTAAGCGAAGAGTAAGACCTGGCGGAAGGTGGAATTTCTTGACAAGCACTGTTTCTATCATGTCAAACACAGGCATGGCATAGATCTGCATGAATAGCCACATAACAAAGAAATGAATCAGAATGAACAATGAGATACTGTGGTACTCAACATTGTTCACATTTGCAGTGTCTTGGTCTTGTTGTTTTATAGTTGAAATAAATATCCAAATGTCATGTGGATTCAGATCTATGTTCTGGTGCCATGAAACTGAGTATGTTGGTTTCTGTATACATTTGTATTTTGATGATGAAATTTGTATTCTTCTTGATACCATAATAAATAGAAAGGAGCTGTCTGTGATTTAGAATTGCATAAGATTCTAATGTTTCACACTGTACCTAAATATTTATGCTCATGACTGATATGAAATATTTTTTGCATGATCGGTCAATTTTTTACAATGGAGATGCTATAGTATGTATTAAATGATTTTTTTTTACCTTCATATTACATTAACTAATGCAAAATTAGAGCATTCAAAATGAAAAGAGCAAGGGGAGAAATTAGAATCTTGCTTTAGAAATGTATTTTTACCAAAGTTCAATGGCTTCATTTTTCAGGTTATCAATGATGAGCACTATCAGTACCTGATAACTTCCGATGACATGGATCACAACGAATATATTGGCAGTTGCAATCAACCACCTTGGCTTCTCAAGGGTGATGAGAATGTTGTCATCAACAGCATTGCCAAAGGCCCAGTATCCAATTAGAGCAACAGGGAAGTAGCAAATAGCAACAACAAGGTAAGCAACAACCACACCCCTCCACATTGGTTTCTTCGAAGGCTTCTCAGGAGTGGAAGGTATGGTTGCTTGGATTTCCAGCACCACATTGTGCCCTGCATATGCAAAGGCAACATCTCCCAGCGCACTGAGGAAGTTGAAGACAACTCCTGTTGTGGTTGAAGCCTTGTAGCTGTAATCAACATCTGGTTGGCCTTTCTCCACAGATGCAACCCAGGCAATGGTAGAGTAGCTGATCATATCGCAGAGGTTTGTCAAATCATACTCACAATTGGTGTTATGATTCTGAAATTTAGATCGGTATAGCATTTCTTGAAACCTTGAATAAGGAATAAAGTTTTGGAATACCTATTGGATTAAATTTGTTATTTTTTATTATAGTGTGACATGATTATTTATTTGGATTATGTTCCTTAAGGGATCATAAGAGTTTTCATGATATTTGAAATGACGATGATGTAGGTACCTGAGGGACATGACAGCCGCGGCCAAGGAGACGCCTGAGATGGAGTTGAAGTCGGGAAGCTGAGAGAGAACAAACTGCACGGAGGCGAAGATCATGATGAAGTAAGAAAGCTTGATGTTCTTGCAGTCGGGGCAGATGGTGTCGTGGAACTTCTTGATGGACCTGCCACCGGTGACCATGTACACGATGTCGGTGCCGACCTCCACGATCAGCTGCTGCGGGACGATGATCCAGAGCCCGAGCTTTTCTCCAAACACATGCTGTCCCAGCTCGTGGTAGCGGTCGAATCGCTTGCCAGGGACCATCTCGTGCATCTCCACCATCTGCCATAGGGTGTACAAGGTGATGATCCACGACAAGACGAGCACCGCCACGCCAGGCCCCCTGAGTTTGCGGCAACATTAGTCTGATGACACTCATCCTAGATCGAATTGAAGTTGGATTCGAAATCAAAAGATGATTTAACAATAAGATCATGAGATCGAACTTGCATCTCGTCGATCGAGACGTAAAGTCAGGTTCATTGTCAGAATCATACTCAGGTTTTTTCTTTCTCTGTTTAGAATATGAAATCATAAATGTTATCTCATCGACAGGCTTTAAAGGAAGGCTTTAGATGAGATGAGATGAGGAAAGTATACCATCCGAGTTCTGCCATGGCGTAGGGCAAGCTGAGGACGCCGGCGCCGACCATGGCCGTGACATTGTGGAAGGCAGAGTACCACCACTTGGCGCTCCGGTTCGAGGTGATGGGAAGCCAGTCGTCGATGGCCTTCTCCTTGCTCTGCTGCAGGTCATTGCGTTCCGGCTCGCTCATGGGACCCGAAGCTCAGACAACCTGCAAAGAGATGGAGAGATGGACGCAACTTAGATCTGTGCTCCTCCTCTTGCCTTCCTCTCTCTCTTTCCACTTCCTCTTGCGTTCCTCCTTGCGACGGGGTTGCGCATATAGGAGATAGAATAGCTATGTTTCCCCAAAACATGTGGCTGCTGTCGAAGACCAAACGAGGCAAAGGAGTTTTGACGGATTCTTATACCCGCCCAGGGGATCCAGAATCTCTCGTCGAGCGCGGGAGATTCTCCGAATCTATCTCGTACCCAGTTTGACATTTATGGTTGGACTCTGGGACCACACAATTGAAGGACAGATTTTGTTGGCTTCCAAACCGAGAGAAAAAGGGGTCGTCGTAGGATCTTGATGTGGGACCGTCCGACCCAATGATGCTATTTCTTGGAATTGATTAGGGAAAAAGGGGTCGTCTCGTTCTTGGCAATCACGTCTAGTTGGAGAACTCGTTCTTGCTCGGAACAAGGCTAGTGAGTCTAGTGTGCACTGCAAACTAGCCAAAAGAAATCTGAATCTTCACTCCATATCTAAACGTTATCTTTTTGGTTTTGATAGGAAGTCCTTCACCGATTCCTCATGGGAGACCCTACAATTTAAACATAATAGCCTTCGTCAACATGAAAATGTCAATAGTCTTTCAACAAGTCTCACCGGAAGATTAGCTATCTACCTTTCAGCCAAAGTTGACTCCACCAGAAGGAACTGTACTGACTGGTCATTGTTGCCAAAGTCGAATCATGTTTGAGTAGTATCACCTGGCATCGCATCATCTTCCTCTTCCAACCAATATGTTTCAAGAATCTTAACAGATTTCTCATATATCTCAGTGTTGTCGTGGCTCTGAAAAATCTCAATTTTATCTAAGCCCTCGGCCTCCTCAATCAGCTGTGAGCTCGTGCTATTACTCTACTACCTCGTATCTCCATCACATCAATAAAAATTGGAATAGAAAATATTTTTTATTATATAAAATATTTATTATAACTACAAATTACTAAGGGAGCATCTCATCTCGTAAAAAGACATAGCTAAACGTGATAATTGAGATTCGAGCCATCTATCTTTTCACTTTTTAACACATATTTGGTTAATTGACTCATCAAAAGACACATATCTATCGACACAAGACACATCGAGACGATACCCTCTCGAGAGTTCAAAATGTCAAGCATGTACGTGACTCCATATCGAGAAGGACAACACCCTATCAGAGCTGAGCTCGAAATGTGGGGCATGAGGACCAACCCTATGTCGGGAATGACACCTCAAGGACAACACCCCATCAGAGCTCTAAGGCATGTTCGTGAATTCCATGCAGGTAGGTCCAAACCTAAGTTGGGCTGATCAACATCAAATCATCCACTGACACCGACGATCACTTTTATATGCTAGACATCATTGTTATATGTCAAATGGCTGACGTGCTATAGATCAGAACAAGAATTAACAGGAAGGAATAGAACACCAACAGCTACTACATATTTTCCATTATGCCTCCAATTTCTTCCTTGCTTCATGATTTTTCAGGGATCCATGACTCGTTATGCTCAGAACATTCCTCGTTTCTGTTTGTGATGATGATTGAAGGGATAGCTGTAGAACAACATGGGTTATAAAATCAAACAAAGAGTCATTAGCATGTCAGTAATTATGAATTGAAGTAAGCTCTAATGATAGCACATTAGTAATCAGATGATGCACCGTATCAGAATATTTTCCTGTGCCAACTAATTGTCAAACACAGATCCTAAGAATCAAAGACCAAAGAACCCGAGCTCGCTGGCTCTTTCCTTCTCAAATGTCTCAAAGTACTGATATATGATTGTTACGGCAAGAAGAATTCCAGTTCCAGAACCGATTGCACCCATGAAATCTGCTATAACTGTCAACGCGCCGATGCACATTCCACCGAAAGCTGCAGCGGTCGGGATGTATCTGTTCAATTCCTTCTGCAAATTTGACTCTCGATGCCCGGGCATCACCATTTGTTGCTCCTTCAATATACCAAATGGCAAGAACATAAGCTATATAGTTTGCTTACATACGGAAATCGAGAAGAAAAGAAGGATTTAACAAGTGCCTATGTTGGCTACAATGCAACAAATCACTTGAAGAAGAGTGCATCCTTTACTAAATTGTTAATCTGTCATAAAAATTTAAAGAGATTTTTCCAAATAAACTTAACACGTGAAGTTTTCATATAAAATTTGGATGAATAAAAATAGTCAGCATTTAATTCATCACCTCTCTGTACCTCCAATTTTTATGTTACCCGCACAATATAACCTTTCTTTCCAAACGAGCTATGGAGCAAGTAACACCTTCCCACAACCATACGTTAATCTTATAATAAGACTAGCATCTACGCATTTGATAATCAAATCCTCTACGATCATTTCTTTACTCCGAATGTTATACAAAATAATCTAATCTAACTCCTAGATCATATCTCTCAAGATGCTGCTGCTGCCAATACTATTGTACTAAGCATCTTGATCTTCATCAACCTAGTTTTCGTTACAATGCTGCTAGTAAAAGAATAATCAGTTGGGACATCTTGAAGTTAGGATCATACCTTAAGCTGCTTGGCCACATCTCTTGCTGACGATCCAGAGACTTCTATCCAAGTCTTTGAGAAAAGAGCACAAGCTGAGAGCATAAAAACAATATAGAAGAGTGCATGAAATGGATTCGCTGCCATATCCGCCAAGCTGCACAATGTAATTTCATACATAAAGATAATAAGCAACAAAGGATAAAACGGCAAAACAATGATAGGAAAATTTTGCTCCACAGCCACATACATCAAAGCGTACACTCGAAATAATCATGAGAGAGAGATTAATCACCTTGATGGTGCCGTTATATAGTAAGCAATACCACCCACAGGGATGGATTGGACAGAATACTCGGATTCCTTCCACTTTCCTAACAGATTTACCAGAAAATTTCCACTGTACCTCCTGTACAACAACTGCATCAACCAGGAAGAACAATTAGGTAGAATCCAAAAAGTATAATGCCAGTATGATTAGACAACTTTTGAGGGTTAGGAGTCGCAGTACCTGGGAGATGAAGTACAGATTAGAGACAAGTGCCGACTGCAAAATGATGGGCATATTGGAGGTGTAAAACAATTTAATAGGGTAGGAACCTTGCTGTCCACGGGCATTCTTTGACCTCACAGGCAACACAACACGAAAACCTTGGAAATAGATTACTATGAGGAAGACCAAGACTGTCGCAAGCAAGTTGGTCACATTTGGAAGGTTCTGACGGTAGAAGGCCTCACGAAGAGCACGAACTTTATCTGTGCGTGTAATCAGTAAATGGAACAGAGCAATAACGGCACCTTCGAATTCAGCACCACGTCCACTGTTTATGGTCGTCGGGCTAAATGCCTTCCAGATGATATTTTCACTGCATGATTGAGAAAAAATATCATGTACAACGCACTAACAGATGTTATGAAAAATCAAAGTCAATGACCTATATGATGGTAAAAATGAAAGATAAAAGTGACTAGACTTACCAGATATTGGTAGCAATGAACAATGATATACCAGATCCCAAACCATATCCTTTCTGGAGAAGTTCATCCAAACAAATGACAATGATACCAGCAAAAAAAAGCTGAAGTATTATCAGAATAGCATTCCCAGTTCCCAGTTGGCTGACACTTCCATACATTCCAGATAGAACATATGCAACAGCCTCTCCAATAGCAATTAGAATGCCAAGCAACTTTTGAGCGCCATTTCTGGAAACAGAACAACAATTAGAGAGATCAATCAACCACTTCATGTTATTGTGTAGTGATAAAAAAAATATACCTGGCTCTAAAAAAGAGGAAAAGATAAGGGTATTGCTGTATACAGTTTGTTAATCAAAGACATCACTGATTAAAATTATAAACACAGAAAGATAGGACACCAAAGAACAATATACAATTATGACTATTGGAGAAAAAAAAAAACAAGTTCCTTTTAGGTATCAGGAAGTATATTCATGTAAAATAAGATAGAGGAAACAAAATTTCTAATGCGTTCAATCTCCAAATGACCAATAATTCCACATGCAAATGGAAACGTAGATGTGAATGACGGAATGATCTAAACTTTGTGACAGTACAACATTACGATCCTCAACCTAAGAAGAAGGAACGAGGCGACAATGGTGTCGCAATGCAGTGTTGAACGCAAGAGGGCTCGCTAGTTTCATTTTTTACTGCTGAGTTGGATGGGCCTCACAGCTATTTTAAGTTTTTTCTAATCTGAGTTGGAGTGCGCACCCAAAACGGAGGTGGTCTGCGTACCAGTCCATGCCCGAACTGGTACGTGCTATCCGTTTTGTACCGTTTCGAGGGTACAACAATTCTTGCTTCAAATGTTATTAAATCCAAGCATAGTTTTAACTTCTTTCAGTTGTTTCTCAACTATAAATCTGTAGTGCATAACCACATATCCTGTCAAAAGAATGATGTAAACAAAATTACTTGCCATAGTTGCTTCCAAATAATGTCCAATTATATAATGTTATCATACAGTAAAATATAACCAAAACTTATCTGCATGTTCATCGTAGAATACGTTAATGGTAGGCCTCATGTCTTTGAAAGGCATACAATAACTTACTCAAAACCTTATCACTGATCTATGTATACTGTTTCAAGCCATTTCAAAGGCCTATGGCATTAAATAATCAGATAGGAACCACTTACAAAAGAGCACGATCCTCCCGTACACTGTTGTCAACTTCAATGATCTTCGACCCAACCAAGAGCTGCATCACTAGTCCAGAAGTCACAATTGGAGTAATACCAAGTTCCATGACAGTTCCCCGATTTGATGCAAGGATCACACGCATCCAATAAAAGGGATCCGCTCCAGTAGTTGAGTGAATACCATAAAGAGGAAGCTGACTGCAAACTAGAAAGATAAAGAGGGAGATGACAGTGTAGATAACTTTTTCCCTAAAGGGAATTTTACGATCAGCACTCTGAACTTCAGGCAAGAATGCTAGGAATGGCCTAACAAGATGGAGCACTCTGAACCCTCCTGCCATTTTCCTGTATGCGAACCCATAAACAATTTGCTAAGACAGAATAATAAATTGATCCAAAACATATGCACATTGGTTTAAAGGAACAATTTGAACTTTTTTTATGCTCTAGTACATCAACAATCAAAGGATAAGGAACACATGCGACATATCTAAACAATGAAAACAGATAATAATACAATCCAAGATTTGGGTAAACCAGGACATCTATTCAACATTGCGATTTAGAAACTTCAGTGAGAAAAACTATCACTGACTCGATCAGCTGGAAAGGTGGAGGAAAGCATATGATGTAATAAAAGGACTGGTTTACTGAGCTGTAAACTTTATGAATTTTCAAAAATTATTTCAAATAAAACATAATAACGTCACCAACCAAACATTTTAGCAATCACTTTCTTGCATTACAAATGATCTTTACTATAAATCCACAACATACACAGTAAATAAAGGCTTGAAATTTGATATAGACATCTGTACAAACATGTTTCATCACATTAGAGAAACTGACTATTCAAGTCAAAATGCTGCATAAACCGACTTATAATAACATTGAATGATTAAGACAATGCGAACAATTCTACCCACAAAGAATTAGGACTACTATATAATTGTAAATTTTAAGCAAGCATCCATCTACACGTATACTGATTCAAACTTCGGAAGGCTCCACATGAAACAATAGATCGTCCAGAAGATAACCAAAACGTCCAAAAATAGGCAGCAATGTCAAATCAGAGCACCTAAGAACAGAAAACCCTAGAAGTGTTCGTTAGTTCCTCAAACATCTCATTCAAATCCATAATTCAACTCCGCTCTTGTGATCAAGCCGTGGATCTTATAGCGATCCAAGACTGCACGCCTCCAGCGCAAAACGGGACACCATCTTAGGTCGAAACCAGACCAAAAGAAACTGCAAATGAAAACAACGCGAGATTAAAGAGTACAGTACCTCTTCTCCGTTCCCTGCTTGTTTCAGGGTTGGGGTCTCGTTCTCGTATCCTTCGCCCCGGTTACTTCTGCCTTGGGACGAGGAGAGGAGCCGAGTGAGATCTGGATCAGCTCTACTTCCCTTTGCATTTATAGCATGAACAGCGGATGCGGGTTTAGCTCTTTCCACGCCCCGGTAACCCGTTATAAGAAGCAAGTAATGAGGCGTGCTTTTTTTTTTTGTTGAAGTTTACTATTTTGAGCCATTCTTACTATTCACAATTTCTTACTATTTATAAATTCTTAAAAATAATAAAATAATATTTTTATTTATAATATTTTTAATTTTATTTTTACTCTTTTCTTTTCTTTTTCACCTATGCACTTATTGACGTCGACTCTTCCTGTATTTTTTTTTTTTATCTTCAGATCGTCTCAATTTATTATTTATTACGTCACTTCAGACTATTAAGAAAAGGAGGACGAGAAGAAATTTTTTTAAAAAAGGATTATAGGTAAGAAGTAAAAAAAAATATTAGAATTGAGTTATAATGTAAGGGCATATATATTTATTTATAAAATAATAACTTAAGAATATTATAAATTATTAACATAAATTTATAAATAATCAAAAAGGGGTTGTAAATAATAATCCTTTTTTAATGTTTTGTTTTCTGTCATCATCTCAAATTAGTTGTTGGCTTTCACACTTTACACGCCAAAAGATACCTGACACAGGTAACCACTTTTGTCCACAAAAAGCTGCTCATATATTGTTGGTTTGGTTTTATCGATGCATCCGAAAATTTATAATGTTTTGATAAATGATAAATATTATAAGGCAAATTATAATTTATAATGAAATTAGAAATTCCAAACAGATGAAATCTTCTGATCACAATCGTTGTTTCAAAGATCATGACAGATCCCAGTCAATTCCAAGCTTGATGGCTAATATCTAACTCCAATATCTTTCATGGCAACAAGATTTGTGTGTATCTCACCACTGGCAATTTTACAAAGCAAGAAGGCTCATAGAAAGAACTTGTTGTTGTTAAGTAGTTTCTTCCCAAACATTTTCTAACAAGAAAAACAACCTTTAAATAAATAAATCACAAGGTCAACACTGTTCCATTGTAACTAGTTTAGTGACACAAGATAATAGTTCCTTGAGAATAGGATCATAAAGAGTTACAATCTGATAAATGAGAGTTCTGCAACTACAAAAAGTTGTCGAAAGCCAAAATGGGTATCCAGTTACAAGTCTATCACACGAGAAAGCTTCTGGATTCGATTCAATAGGAAGTCCCCTTGCTTGATAGTTGCCTGATAAAGTGCATTTTTGGCATCAGGTCGGTTGGTCTCCAAGATACCAGCAACCTTGTCGATCTTGCAATGAAGCTTCCCAGTTGCTATGAAGCGAGATAATTCCCTAAAGATATGTAACTAGTTAAGACATTATTGTTCCGTCAACTTAAAAGAGAGAGAAATTACGTCATAGGCACCAAAAGAAAAAGGTGTCAGAAATTTATGCATAGATGTACATGCTTCTTCCGTAACAACAACTTGTAATATCAGTAAAGTCAATGTTTCCCTAAATTAGATAATATGTTCCTTATAGATACTTACGACGTTATAATGTATTTAAGAATTTAAAATTTTCAGGACCTACAAAACATTGACCACTAACGATTCAGTTAAAGTACTTACTGATCAATGAAACCAATAGATACTCCAAAAGCTGCCGCCATTGCTTCCGTAGTCACACTCTTGTAGGATTCAAGGAACTGGGAATAAACTACTGTGCTAACTTCCCTCACGTAGAACCGGAAATGAGGTTGTAGATATCGATCCAACTTTATCTGCTCAGTCAGTCCAGCTGAGAAGCAAGACCAGTAAAGACCACAATCAAACAAGTTATATTTGACCAAAACAAGGCAATTTCGATAGAAATATTAATGAACATGTAAGTTGAAAGTAACTATGATGATAAACCATAGTAAATATATTAAGTACAACCATTATGGTTAGTCAACCTTGTCAAGTGAAGCTATTTAATAGCTAAATGATACTGCAAAAGATAGGATTTGACACAATCATGTCAAAAGGCTGCATATATTAGATTCTAAAGCTAAGCAGTTAACAGGTATAAAGGTATGAACTGTGAAGTAAATTACTGCAGAAAGAATAAGAGGGTGGATGAGTAACAAAACTTGGAAGAGACATGATAGAAACATGAGAAAATATCATTTTAGGAACTCAAATAACACACAACCATTTAACATCAATCAATCTAAAGATTAATGCTACGACATGAACTTGGGCAAGAACTGTTACACACTTATGTTATGACACTAAGATAACTAGCACAATTATCATGCAAATAAAAAAAGGGAACAAACAAATAGGATCTTTTATTGTTGCATAGGATGGACATGTTTTAAAAAGTTTTGTCTGCTTACAAAATGCAGAGAAAAATGACTTGAAGTGGCAGCCATAGAGGGAGTTAAGAAATTCAGATAGATGTGGTATCTTGCCAATCACTGAAAGGATTTCAGGTGCATCCACAACCTGCCATATAATTCATTAAAATATAAGCCGGTTGAAAAAACACAAAAAACAAAAAACAGAGACTCGTCTTATTTATTGGAATACCTTTTGTTTAAGTGAGACTCTGTCCAACGATATAATGCTTGTAAGGACGGTATAGAAAATGAAGGTATCATAAGAGAATATCTCATCAGTTGTGAAGGTCGATATCGAGTCCAAAAACAAACTGGCTGCTTTCTTAAAGTTCCTGGTAGACATGCAATATAAGCCTTCGTATACTTTCAACCTATTCTTTCTCTCCCAATCACCACCACCTTCAAATAAGCTGCCATGATCATGCCAAGATGAAATAGATTCAGCACAAGCCTTATCAGAAAGTGCATAATGGATTTACTCTTTAACACCAGAAATCAAGAACTTACTTCTTAGCCTTGTCAATTGATTTAGAAATGAGATCAAAATCCATGTAAAAGAAGCCAAGTTGTAAGGTATAGAAGACCAGGTCCATCTTTTGACCAGCAGCAACAGTTTTTTCCTCAGTTGTTTTGAGCTGCTCCAATGCCTTTTCCTGTAAATGGAAAAATGAAATATCATGAGTATAAATGTAACACTTAATATCACAGTGAACCTCAGAAATTTGAAGCCCTGAATACCTTGTCACCAATCCGAATGAAGAACAAGGACTTTGCTAAATGAGCTTCACGTACTTCACTTTCTCCTAGGTTTTCTTCAGCATCGGCAATCCTATTTTGTATCAAAAGTGAAATCTTATTTTTTATGTTACATCATAATTGATAATTTCGTAAGACCAAATTATACTATAAGATTATTGCATATTGCCAAGATTCCGCACACCATATGGTGGAGTTAGAAAAGGACAATGATTTCTTTAAAATTCACAGTCAAACCACTCTTATATTCATTATTTATTTTCTCCTTTAAACAAATTCAAAGGATAAAACAAGACTGGAAGTAGTTAGATGTGATACTAAATTTCTTCAAAGCAAGAGATACTATCAGATATATGACAACATTATTTTACAGATTAGAGATGTTGTCCCAAATCCCGATTATCATATGAACAATGCTACATATCAAGACTTAGTGCCCAGATTAAGGCATGAGTCACGGACATAGAGCATACAACCAGAGGACAAAGGGGGTGGGGTCAGGGGCAATGTGCTAGTCTGTGACTCATGCTTTACTAGGTTATGCTTAATAACGAGGTTGTCAATAGAGAAAATTTTAGACAGGTATCCTCAAGAGCTGAACGCCATCCAGTAAGGTGAATAAGACACACAAATTTGAAGCAAACATGAAATACTTATGTAAGATCCATAACCAATTGTACATATTAGATACAAGGCCGGATATCAGGCTTTACCATATGGTACTTCTTGTTAAATCCGAAGCAGACTCAAGCTATTCAGAGCCATCGAAATAATGTAATCATCATTGAAAAATATTTAGATATTCTTCATATACATTAAGTTTTAGCCAAATATAAATCCAAGTATATAATAAGATTTAGAAGGATAGATATATATACATTTACAAGATGGGGTTAAAATCTTGTGTCATTATATTTAGGGTTAGAATTTAACTAGGTCCAAAATCAAATCTAAATCCAATAAGGTTTCTATGTGGGATTTATTTCCGGTCAAGAAGCTTAGTGACACAAATTTCACGAGGCGATTTATGCTAATTGGTTCATATTGTTGAGCAACAATAAACAAATTATTGAAAAAAATTTGTGTGAAGATGAGAATGTTAAGATGGATGCCTAGTATCATAACAAAGGAATACAAATTATTGCATATGTGAAACATGAGCACCACACATTAATCTAAATAAAGGAATCATTTGATATAATTTGAACATGACCAACGGAAACTTGAAAATGCACAGGCAAGACAAGGAGACTCAATCTCAATTACAAATACATAGGAATCTCTGGATCTCATTCCATCTTTAGATAATCTAAAACTTAAAACCAGATGACATATTGAATCACTTACAGTTGACCCTATCCATCTAGAAGTCAAATTCTCGCTTGTATATCAGAACCAATGAAATTACGAAATAGGAACTCAATAATTGCAAAATTCACTTACAGTTGACCCTATCCATCTAGAAGTCAAATTCTCGCTTGTATATCAGAACCAATGAAATTACGAAATAGGAACTCAATAATTGCAAAATTCATCTTCTGCCAAAACCCAATCTCAATAGCAATATCACTGTGCAATGCCCCAGTCTGGTCAATTGTTGAGAACAAGGGTATAAATGCTAGTCCATACTGTATTATATATTGGCCGATCAACAAACCAGGGTGTTACATCAGTCTGGCGGGCACAATTAAATCCATGGTTGACAACTTATGTATGGCTAGTATCTGTGATATATTCTAACACCAATGGTTAAAGCCAACCATAGAGAGCATCTTTGACATAAAGGATTTGATCTCCATAAAAGAGAACAAAAGAAAAAAAAAAGGCTACTTAGATACTTGACCAGATCTACATCAAGAAAATCAAAAAAATATTGTAAAATAAGGATAATGCACTGTTAACTCGTAAATGTAAATTAAGTGTCTACAAAAAAAATCAGCACAAATCTTGTCATGAGTAGGAACATATAAATGAACATACCTCATGGAGAAAAAATAAAAGAACAGACAATATTGCATATTAAGGAGCAATCATTATTTAGTTTCACCGAGTTATTAATCTCTCTCTGTCTCCCTATCCCTCTATGTTTATACGTTTTCTGTGTCATATTCAAACAACATCAATAGGAAACAGAAACAAACAAAAACAAGAACTAAAACAACGGATCTCACTTGTCATCGAGCGTCTTAAGCTCGTCCTCGATCCTCTTTCTCATGCGATCAAGAACCGCAGTGTCCATCTCCAGCACCGAGGCGACAGCGAGGGACTCGTATAGGGAGGCCATGTCTATCGAACAAGCATGCAATAACATCAGGACCGCGAATGGAAGGAAGAGAGAAAGGGCACAAATGGTGGATGTCGTCGTCATCGTTACCACGGGTCTTGACGGCATCGAGGACCTCATCACGGAGGCGGACCTTCTCGATGTCGTCGACGTCGGGGTGGGTGAGGAGGAAGAGCTTGTGGGCGAGGGCGATATGCTGTTGCTGAGTGCCGTCTTGCGCTTCCATTGCTCACTCACGCTGTCTTCTTTTCCTGCGTCGCTTCGTTTCCGCTTCGGTTTTATAGGGTTTCCGCCCTGGCTTAACGGGCGCGGCTCGTTTGTCCACGAAACCCTGAATCCGAACTCGGAGCCTAACTGACCCGAATCCGAATCAACGATCGGGGTTTGGGTTTGGGTTTGGGTGGGCTCAACCTCGGTTCGGTTTTCCTATTAAGAATAAAATAATTCCAACGGGTGAAAATTAACCTAAAAGACTTAGTACTCTTATGTAGGTTTTATTTACCAACTCAAAATATCTTGTATTATATCTAACCATTTAATCTGAATTTAGTCCTATCCAAAATAGAAGATCGTTGAATATTTGAAGAAGATATTTATTTGAAGGCGAAAAATATCTATACCTCATATTCTTTTATCCCATAATCATATCATTTATCTCTTTTCGTTGTGTTTTGATGTGAGGACTTTCAATACGTTTCAAGATCTTAATTATTATCAATTTTTATATTTAAAAATAATTAAATTATGCATTAGTTGCTTTTTTTTTATATAGATATAGTATATATAGACGAGACGTTTTGAGATGCATCAAATGCTTTAATTATTTTCTTATCATAAGTAGATGCATTGAAAGAAGACGATGTATTAATCACTTGGTATATATTTTTATTTTTGATAGATACATCATGCACAAAGAATGTGTTGGGAGAAGTAATATATACTTGGATTATCTTTTTAAACCAAGAAAAGGTATTATGCATAAATTGAATATTTTTTATTGCATCAAGTGTTTTCGATACTTTTTTATTGCATAAATTGAATAAGACACCTTAGGTTGAATGGAGCACTTTAATTTTTTTCTATATTGGGCATAAATGAACACACTTTAAATGTCACCAGCCCAATAAAATATTATATACATTTATATTGTATCTTTTAATACAAGTGATAAATGGGCCGCATTGGGCTATATGGACCTAACACGAGTTGGTAAGGCTAAATTCACCCAACCCGAGCCGATCGAGCAAATTGACTTGACCAATGGTCGATCATATTTGACCTAATCTAGGTTGGAGGGTCAAAACTGACCCGACCGAGTTGATCGGGCAAATTGATCCGACTTAGGTTGGTTGGTTTAGTCAAATTGACCCAAGCAAAATTACTTGACTAGGGCAGAAGAAAACCCTTTTATACAATTGTATCTTAATATTAAACACATGTAGTTAATTAGGACAACGGTAAAAGCCAAGACTTCCGAAATGGTGTCTTTGGTTAAGACTCTTTAAACGAAGGAGATATTACTAATGAGTATGTATGCTTGTGTTGATAACTCATGTAACATAAAAAAGAGGCTTGGCATGATGGTAAATAGATTTATACAAAATAAAAAAAAATAAAAGATTGAGCTTAAAAGGGTGTAAAGATAATTTTATTTTAATAAAAGGACATTTATTATCTTTAGGATGTAACTTCTTTGACTTGCTGCTTTGTAAATCACTTTGATACAAATATTCTTCTTTTCCGATGCAGAAGTGCACATCACTGAGAAGAAAATTGTCATCGGGGATGAAAGAATGACTTCAATGTATGCAAAGCATATTTCATGGGAAGGAGAATATGAAGAAGAGCAAATGCGGCAGAAGACAGAGACTAATACCCACAACTGCTCCATTGATTAAAGGACATTTTTTGACATTCCAAGATGCATGTACAGAAACAGGAAACTAAGGCGATGTTACGAGAGGAAAGACACTATCTCCGTGACGACAAGTTCATTGAACACTGATGTCAACGACCTTGCTTGAAGGTGAAGCCTTTGGAATTGTCACATAGAGCACCCCATCCTTCACCTCTGCCTTGATCTTTTCCAGGTCGATGGTATCGGGCAATGCGATCCTACTGTTATATCGACCATAGCTCTTGGCAGACCATTCTTCTTCCTCCCCTTCTTTTATTTCCTTGGGCAGTTTCTCTGCCTTGATTACCAGCATTCTTTCCTCCACCCACACCTTGACATCATTCTTGGTCATGCCGGGCATGTCGAACCTCATCTTGTACACACCTTCCCCCTCTTTGATCTCCCATGGAGTCCTTCCCCTCCTATAACCGCCCCCAAATTCCTCACCACCCAGGGAAGGTGATGATGTGACACTGTAACCAAGGGGATCATCCATGATCCTCTCCATCGTCTCCATCATTTGCTGTACTGTTCTCGCGGTAGGAAATCGGTCCCACAGTCCTGAAATTTACATACGTCAACAGCCAATACCAATTCCCTTCACAATGTATAACTAATCCAATCAAGAATTGTCAGAATGTAAAGGAACAAAGACCAGCTGGTAGAATGAAAAAGAAAGAAATCAATAGTTTAAAGCTCAAACACAATGAGTCCTTTCCCAAGGAATTTACTATAAATTGATGGTGTTAAAGCTCATAAACATAGTGTTAAAGAAATCAATAAAATTCTACATTTACTAGTTACACGATTAAAATCATTTATCATATGCCTCTCTTACGCAATCTCTAACAAAAAATATGTATGCATTATGAGTTTTTCATCTAAGCTTCCACCATACATACCCAATTCGAATCATTTATCCGATAGAAGATTTTTCATTTTCTTGTCAGCATGCATTATGAGTTCTTCATTTGAGCTTCCACCATGCATACCCAATTCAAATGATTTATCAGATAGAACTTCAATTTTTTTCATTTTCAAGTGAGTCTGCGATGGATGACTTGACCCAACTCATTTACTCACACAACAACAAAAAAAAAAATTTTTTTTTTGGCAAATGATAAATGACAAAATCGAGATTTGAGTCCTAAGACTTTATTGATAGGAATCCTATCAAAAGTATTTACTAGCTAAGGATTTGAGCCAAGAGCTTGCGATATCCTATCAAAATAAGTGTTAGGCTGAGCTGACACCGTCAACGTAGTACAATAATTATTGTTGACAAGACAGCTAGCTTATCATATGTTCGCAGAGAAGCAGCAGGGTAATATTCCAGAAAATAATAATTAGTGTAGCAAGGCTTTAAAAACCTGAATTGTCTGCTTCACTAAATGTTTTTTCCTTGTATATTGAAATTGAAGATTATCTCCTAAATAATAAAAATAATTATTAACTGTGACGAGTCTTCAGATCTTAATTGTCTGCTTCAATCAGTTTTTTTTTTTCCCCCACTTGGATGGTGAATTTGAGAGTGATTAGCATGCAATATCCAATTTCTCTTCCAACATAATTGCTACTTTTTCTCCAAGACACAATAGACAGAGCAGAAACGCATGGAATAGATGCTGAAAGATCAACATAAACATCAAAGGAATCTTACCGAGAGGCGCAGAGGGAGCCACACCCCTCTTGGGCGCATGACGCTGCGGCTCCTGTTGTTGTCGCACCTTACCGGCTCTCTGGAGGTGGTCAAGGCTGTCTCTGCCGTCGGGGACCATGGCCTTGACGGCGAGATTGCGCGGAGCTCCAGGAGGGGATTGTCGGACCCCATGGAGGGCCAAGAAGCGACGACCAAGAGTGCTGCTGCCTCTTCCATGGGAGGAAAGAGGAAGAAGCGAGACGGAGTTCGGGTTCGAGATCGTCGACGGCATCTTATCTGATCTCCGCTGCTACGGCAGGCCTCCCGCTGATCTCAAAGAAGTGATGGCCGAGAGAGGGGCGACCGGTGATTATTTATAGCAGATGGAGGAGACGAAGCCGAGCCGGCCATCTCTTCGCGTGGAGGGTTCGGGATCGCTTCCAGAATTTTCTGGGACACAACAGCGCTTACCGGAACGTCTTCTGGAAACTCCACTGCCTTATGGGCTTTATGGGCCCTCCAAGCCCGTAACAACGAGGATTACAATAATGGGCGCCGCATCGGTTGACCAGATTCGAATAAAGAAGTCAAGTCAAAACTTGAGCGTCTTTCAATTATTCCAAAGAAACCAAAAACTTATTGCAATGACTGCAAAAAATTAATCCTTAAAGTCTTACCCATAGAAAGCAATGAATCTTTATAAGTAAAATTAAAACCGATATGTTGATGCAACAAAACTCAAAAGTTAATTGAAACATACATTTGTGAAGATATAATGCATAGAATCATAAAAAACCCACCACCACATTTTAGATTAGAGACCTTATAGAAGCTTAAATCTTCTTAAATATTCACATAAATATGTCAATTACTCAAATATAGAATATTAACCCAAGAGCCCTCCCATAAAGATACTATCTTCCTATTACAGAAGTTATTTATAGTGTTAAACAAGAGGTTTTCCATACTCCTAAAAGTCTATGAAGGTATTTTGAATTCCTCTTCTAACATGCTAGTGTAAGTTATCATATTAAGTCTCAAAGAACCATAACCCAAAGAAGATTATCATTATTAAGAAAAGAAAGAAAAATACATTTAAGAGTAATAGATTTTTTAACTATGATAAAATCACATATTCCCAAACCCTCATCCTCCTTGGCTGAACATATGGTATCCAAATTTATCAAATATATTATTTTACTACATTAAGATTCACCCAAAAGAAATTTTTAGAGATTTTAAAAAGTTTATCGAGAAGTTTATCCATGACTAATAATTTATTAATACATAAGTTAAAATAAAATTATTGACAACATTGATCATGATTGAACAAAGCATGTGACACTTTGATATCACCTTTGTTGTCAATGCATTAACATGACCTGACATCTCATGCTCGATATACGATTATGATACCCACAATGCATTAACATGACCTGTTAATGTATCTTTATTCCACATGCTCGATATACGATAGGTTATGCGTGAGGCAAACATCACAAAACCTTTAGTTTCAAAAGTTCTAATAATATGTAATATAGTCTATCATGTGTATATATATATCTATTAATCATTAAAAAATAAATAATTTTAAATTAATAAAAAACTTTATAGACATATTTATTTCAATCCTAATGTTGGTGACTACGCTAATATATCCTCTATAAATGGATAAGTGTTCATGTCTTGGTTCACCCGGAAGATTCTTCCCTGTACTTTTGGTCTTCTTTTCTTTCTCAGATTTGTTCCCGGTCTACTTTAGGCCATGGTTTCACCGTACCACCACATCTGGTTCGGACCGCGATTCATAGGTTTAAGACCGCCATTTATAAACCGGACCGGAAATTATGCTGCATGATGCCCTGACGTTACAGTAACGACTAACCGACAGCAATGGCTAGGGTTGGGTTTTGGCCGGCCCGGTTTAGGCTTGCATAGGTTCACTTTAATATGAGCGGACGCAAGTGCGTCTCCGACGATCGCACTTCGGTAGAGCACGAGAAGAGGGGAGCGGCGAAGGCAAAGGGGCGGTGATTGTTCAAGAATGGGGAAGAAAACGAAGAAGCCCGGCAAGGGGAAGGAGAAGACGGAGCGGAAGACGGCCAAGGCCGAGGAGAAGAGGGTGCGCAGGGAGAGCAAGAAGAACGTCTCCCAGGAGGACGACATCGACGCCATCCTCGTAATCGCTCGTCTCCCACTCAAACCTTAGTGTCGTCCTCTCTTGATTCCTTTCTTTTTTTTCTTGTGTTGTGATATTTTCGTCTTTCTTTTCCGCGGTTCACCTTTTGCTGTAGAAAAACATACAGAAGGAGGAGGCGAAGAAGAAGGAAGTCCACGTCGAGGAGAACGTCCCCGCCCCTTCTCCCCGGTCCGGTTGTTCGGTAATTCGTCATGAAGATTCTTGATGATAGGGTTTGCGATTTCGAGATTAGGTTATTGCTATCTTTTCTTGGCTATTTGTTTAGCGATAGGCGTATGTACCTAAATGCTTCTTTTGTGGGTAACCGAGCCAAATTCCCTCAGAAAAACTGGCCTGATTAACGGGAAAGAGAGATTATGGTACCCACCACGTTAGTCGTTTTGTAGTTTTGACATTCTTCTTAGGAATGCATATGTTCGACAAAATAACTGCGTTAATTTCTTGACTGGCTTTATGAACAGTTGACCAAGATAAGTTCAAAACATGAACATTGAATGCTTGTACTTGATTAATTTTCCCTCTTTTCTGCTTTAAAATGGGTCAGGGCTCTAACCTTTATTATTAACAGAATGAGACAAAAATCAAACCATGTACGTACAAAATTTTCGCTGGCAACCAAGGCTTCTGTCATACCTAATTGTTAGTATTTCAAAGATAGGTTTCTAATTGATATCCTTTTCTTGCAGCTGATCATCAATCCATTGAAAGACACCGAGTTGATTTTGTATGGGGGAGAGTTTTACAATGGCAACAAGGTCAGAACTAACAAGTACACTATTCTAAATGTATTGTTGAAATTGATTTGCTTTTCATTTATTTCCTATCTTTGGGGCATTATAGTTTAGATATCCATGTTTTATGTTTCTTATTTTGTTGCATTCCCTTCTTTTTGGATATCATAAAATGAAAAATAAAACAAAATATGCTTCATTATAGGCAAATGAAATATATCTGTGTAGTAAATTTTTTGCTGTGGGAGTCCTGATGTATGTTAACCGACCAAGTTGTTGCTGCAGACTTTTGTTTATGGTGATCTTTATCGATATGATGTAGAAAAAAATGAATGGAAGTTGATATCAAGTCCCAATAGTCCACCTCCTCGTAGTGCTCATCAAGCTGTTGCTTGGAAAGACCATATTTATATATTTGGTAATTAACCTAAACTCATCATATATTGTCACTAACCCCAGTCACTTTCTCGTGTGTAATTTATATCGATTTTATTCCATAGGTGGTGAATTTACGTCTCCAAACCAGGAACGTTTTCATCATTATAAGGTAATTGTTTTGATCAACTTATCTATGAGATTTGATATTTTATTCATTTAGTTCTTTGTTTACTCATCAGAAATTTTGTAAGCGAAAAGTTCATGTGGTATATACAAATTGATCTGATAGATTCTGATTGATGCATGCACATGTACTTGTTTGTTTGACTCTAACTTGCTAGGCATACTTACATTTTTTGGCAAGGAAAATACATGATGGATGTTCTATTGAGGATGACTAGAAGCCGATACCGAAAACAAGCAACTGTAATGTGCCTAATGAATGTTGACTTCTCAGGAACATCTGACTAAACGATTGTACTATTCTTATGTGCATATATTTTCTTGATCTTGAACCCAATATGTGCTGCTAGTATAGTGGTCGTAGTCGTTTGAATCTGACAGCAGAAAGAACAAATATAATTGATGAAGAATAAGACGTAAGTATTAGCTGCAGAACACAATATTAAAGAAGTGGTCAAGAGAAGGAAGATGGAAGCGGAAACAACAGTGGAAAAGGAAACAGTAGCAATTGAGAAAAGGGCAGGAAGAAAAAGAAGTGAGAGAGATAAGGATGTCAAACCCTTTGTGTGATGGCTTAATCTTCAATCACTTTCCTTTTTCTCTATTATCTGGATTCCTTTCCTTTGATCATTACAAATAATTGAATACCATCTTTAACGGCACATAGTTTTTTTTGTTATTAACATAAAATTGAAAAATTATGTTACAATTTAAGTGAGCTTTTATGTGCATGGACCTTTGAAACTTTAAAGCCTCAAGTAAGATGAATGTTATGATGCAGCATCATGTAGCTACAGGTACCACAATGGGTACTTTAGCCATGAGTGAGTATGGTGGTCTTTTTTATTGATTGGGTTATAACATATGGTAGGGTTATGGGCATAGTAGCCTATAGAATGAATGCTAGATGATTGTAAACCTCTAAAGCATTAGGTTCAAGCATTGTTATATTCTTCTTCCACCTTCTTCTCTTCGTTTCCCCTAAATCTCTTTTCTGAGGCTTGTATTTTCTCAAAGTGAAATGGCATTTGTTTGGTGGGGCTCCTAACAGTAAGGTTCAAAATTTGTGCCTAGTACAGCCTTGGATGTAAGCATGTTTTTTTTATGCTGGTCTAGATGAGTAATATGGTATCCAATTAGTTGACAACAAGGAAAAAAGGTTGTTCTTTGGTTGTAGAGAAAAGGTAAACTGGACAGAAGAGAAGAGCAAAAATGTAAATGGTTATTAGAAAAGATCGACTATGTTTTGTATCTTCCAAGTTCCATTTTATTGTTGTATGAAACTTTGTGGTTTCATATTTCTTTCCTGTTAGTTCCTTTTCTCTTCAGGCTTGATGAATTATGCTATGCTGGAAAGATTGATAGCAGACGGTAGACTTACTATTAGGTGCACTTCAGGTATTTTATGGGTGTAGTTCAAATATGAGATGCATCTTGTGATTTCCAAAACAAACCCCATTTTAACTAATCTTTAATTGGGTTTCTTTTTAACTTAACAAGATTTTTGTTCTTATAATAATAACCTGTTATATGATTCAATTTACTGTTTTAGGACTTTTGGATGTTGGATTTGAAGACAAATCAATGGGAGCAACTACTTTTAAAAGGATGTCCGAGTGCCCGCTCAGGCCATCGCATGGTATGTGTGCTATTTTGCTTTTTATTTATGTAGCCAACTAGACATCTGTTGTATTCATGCACTGTCTTATCTTCAGAACCTTCACAAAATAATAGATAATCTATACTTTATCTAAATCAGGCACATTTGGTACTTGATAGGTAACATAAAATTTTATTATTGTATTTTGGCAAGCTTGATTACTGATCCAATTTCCAAGTTCCACAAATTGATAGGAGTTTGCAGTGGGGCTGAATAGATAAAGCAGTCTTTCCATGAGGAGAAGCACTTGGAGTGGTAAACAATTATTATAAGCAAATTATCATAAAATAATGACAAAAGAT